ATAGCGAATGCTACGGACGTACGAGACGTATACGAAGCGTAGGCGTAACCTAAGCGAAGGGGTCGGCCTCGGAAATAACGTACCTCTACGATTACTGCTTATCGCTATTATTATAGATAGCCTAGAGGCTACGTCTACTAACGAGCAAAGCATAACTTCTACTAGAATATAGGGCACGGAACATTAGTTAACAAAAGCAAAAGTTAAATTAGGCATAGCTAGGCGTTATGCCTGCTAGTATAGCTAGGCGTTATGCCTACTAACAGTAAGGGTATCTCTAGGTGCCCGTAGGCCGAACTAATAGGGCCCGTAGGCTAAACATACGAAGGGCGGCCGGCCTAGGCGGCGCTACCCTTAACTATCGGCAGCTTAACTACTAGCGGCGGTAATAGCGACGGCGCTAGTAGCACTATTAGGGCCGCTAGCGGCACTATTAGGGCCGGGGGCGTCGTTACCCTCGCTATCCGAGGAGGACTCGCTATCGTTACGACGGTAAGCCGTAGCGTTAGCGGCGTCTAGAAGGTCGTCCTCTAAGTCCTAACGGTACTCGTCGATGTCCGAAGCGGAGGAGTCGGACGAGTTAATATCCTTACCGTCCTTATCGTTATCGCTATCGTTAGGAGCGGTAGCGACCGTAGGCTAGAAGCTAGCGAAGTATATAGCGATCGCCTCGAGGGCGCTAGCGGAGCGCGCGGCGATAGTATTAGCCTTAGTAGCGGCACGGCGGGACTTAGTAGCCTCCTATAAATTAATAAGGTTAGATACGGTCGCGCGACATATAAGCGGAACGTAGGGATAAAGTAACATACCTAAGCGAGGTACTTAAGGGCGGCGCGCTTACGTACCTCCTCGCGGAAGGCGGCGACGGTAAGCGGTAAGCGCTTAACCTTATCGGCGTCCTTACGAAGGCGGACGTTACCGACGTAGGAGTTAGGGTCGTGCTCGGCGGTGTCGAGGTAATAAAGGAAGCGGGCGCGCTCGCGGGCTACGCGTGCCTTAAGCTAGCGGAGCTTAAGCGTAGCGGTAGCGTTAACCCTACGGCTAGCGCGAACGGCGATAAAGGCGTCTAAGACGCGATAGTAGCGAACGAGGCGGTTAAAGGCCTTAGCTAAGTAGTCGTCTAGAGGCATATAGGCGTACTTAGTAGTAGCGCAGTAGGGGCACTTTATTAGGGGGCCCGCATAGAAGGAGTAGTCGTCTATATAGCGGTTAGTAGTAGACGCGTACGGGAAGCGTAGGCTAAAATAAACCTCTCTTATCGGGACTACCCTAGTCCTTAGCGTAGCGGCTATACTAGATAATAGCGTCGTCGATAGCGACGGGGACACCGATAGGCTTAAATAAAGGCATGTTAGCGTACGGTACGGTTACGTTATAGTAGAGTTATGTTTACGAAGAAGAGGCGAGGCGTAAGAGGTACGCGTGCTAAAGAAAGGAAGGAATAAAGAAGTAACGGGCTAGCTTTATTATTATCGCTAGCCGTATGCGTCGCGACGCTAAGGCGTCGCCGCTAAGCGGGCCGCCTACGACGCCCGAACCCTAGCCGGCGTCGCCGGCTCTTATATAGTACGCGCGCGCTACGATAGCGAGGTAGTCTATTAGGCTCTATAGAAGTCGCTTACGACTACGGATTTTAAGGGTAGATATAGGCCGCTAAGGATAGCGTCCTAGAGGGGGGGATAATTATAACGGGATAGGTTACCCTAGTCTTCTCTCTCTCTTTCGCTAAGCCGGCGTTTCCTATACGACACGCTAGCGTAGCATATAAGAAGAGTTCTATAGCTACCCTACGTAGAGCAACGAATAGCTTTAGCTATAGATAGACCTATTATCTAAGAGTGATCCATACGTTGCTATATACCTTTATACCTTTATAGAGGCGTAATACGCTATCGCTTCGAGGGTCGAGGGATTAGAGGTTATTAGTCGATATCGGTGTTAGATTCGGCTTTAGAAGCTAATGTATAATCCTCGACGAAGATACTCTCTATACGACCCTCTAAGTTCTAGTATTTAGCCTTAGGGACTATAACCCTCTTATTACGAGTAGCGTATACGTAGAGGGTACTCTACTTAGCCGCGCGAAGGAGCTACCTATCGAGGCATTAAAGATGTAGCTAGCTCTATAATTCTAGGTAGTTAGTGTCTTAACTAGTAGAGGAATACATGGTATAAAGGTTAGTATTAGGGTTCTTTAAGGTGCTAAATGCAACGGGAAAGTAAGTAGAGACTTAGCTATTAATTTAAGAGAGGTATTAATTTGCGAGAAGTGGTTAGGGTAGTTAGTATAGGAAGGAGGAAGGGAAGCGTCGCAAAGAAAAGTTAGCTAGTATCCGGCACGAACTCGACGCGTCGCTTTACGTAGCTAGGCTAATCGGAGCTTCTAATCTAATCTCCGAGATTAGATCTAGCTAATTAAACGCGTTACAATCCGCATAACCGAAGCGAGGGTTTTTAGTACGGTAACTACTAGTCTCCGGCGAGTGCTAAATTACCTCGAAGTTACTGCTCGGTCGACCCTAGCTAAAAGTTTCGAACGACGACGACGACGACGACGATAAGGTGCCTATTACTGTTAGCATTTAGCATATTCTACTCGATTTACTAATTCTATTCCATGCCAATAGAGTGGAATATTCCACTGATTTTAAGTGGAATATTCTAATATTCCACTTATTCCATGCCATTTAACATCTACACTAGTAGTCGGCTCTACGAGGTAGTTAAGTTAGCGATATACAAGCAAATGGTCATGGATCCTAATCGACTCTATTACCTCTAGCTCCGCCGGCAGCAATTCCATAAGCTCGAATACATTAATATTGCAACCTACAAGCATCAACCTTGCATATAGCCGTCTATCCGTCTGACAACCGCCATGTCAAATCGACATCAGTCAAGTCTATAACGCTGCCAAGCTGCATAACTTGTGCAAAAGGCTATATACAAGCTTCAGTGGCATGCCGCTAGTCGATCCGTACGACTCAAGAGACTACGGATCTACGAGCCAATTACGAGCTCGAAGAGCTCAAAAAACGGTGTGTTCAACGTCTGCAAAAATACCCTATTGCTCCAGTTGATCAACAACTTCTCAAAAGCGTGAGAGAAAGGATCGGAGCTTATGGCAAGATCCTACAGAGATCGTACCCAATCAGCACTTGGGGAGTCTATGATTAACACGTTTTGGCGACCATGCTGTCGAGAAGTCTGAAAAACCATGACCATATTACTGCTCTGCCAGGAGGTACATGGATACTATCTTGTGACAATGAGCTACTCCCTGCAGCATCCTCTTAACGCCATTTTGGATGGTAGTCTCTGCTGACTGGATGTTCTGGTTTCCAACACGTAGAGGTACACACGCACGATATGGCTCAGAGAAAGACCTTCAGGATGATCTCAAGCAAGCGTTTCTCAGACAAACATACAAACACCGGAATCATCAGTTCTTCTCCTAAACATACAGCGTTGATCTTGATCTCAATCGTAGCAAACCTACATCTCTCATCCACTATTTCCCATACTCCTCAGCCAACTCTCTGAAATGCTCATCTCCCTCCTCCGCCTTTTTCTTAAACGCCTCCATATTCTCCTCGATCCACTGCTTATCATCTCCAGCCTGCGGGATAGAAAATCCAGCTTCCATGCCCGCCACTATAGCTCCATAGAACATGACCAATCGCAATTCCGTGCCAGGCACGATTTCCTCCCACGCTTGGGTTAGAGCTTTACTCACGACGTCGTAATCAGATTGTGTGCGGGAAGGCCCATGGCGTACGTATGCGAATATGCGGTTGGATTTATACTGGACATTTGCCAAAGACGTCAGTATCAATTCTTCCACGACACTCACACTTCCCCATCATCTCCACATCGGAAGGGTAGAGATGGCAGGGAAGGGGCATACACATACCTGTTTTCCAGCTACATATGTCCTCTGTCCAGAGATATCCGTAATTCGTACATTTACAAACAACTTCGGAGCCGAAAACTGTTGGCTGTGGATTTTGGTTATTGCCGAGGCTAGGAGGTCTTTTTGGTCGTCGGTGAGGGGGCAGACGTGTTCGACTTCGTAGGCTGGCATGGTTGGAGATTCTTTCTTGTGAGGTTGGTCCTTTTCTTGATGTATTGTTGTAAGAGATTCTTGATGATTTATTATTGCTCAGGAGGTCGCTTATGCTTCATGATCGCTCCAGTGGAGCGGAGCGGGGTAGCGAGGTTATTTGATGGAGTACAATTTGCAGACATCTCTCACCAGCGACGAATTGTCAAAAATGAGCGGTCGTGATGCAGCATGATTGCAAGGCGGTCTAGGGGATAAATCAAAAGCAAATGTTTTCTACTCCTTCACTAGACACTGCTATCTTGCTCAACATCGTCGTGTCTTCTGACTGCTTTTCACAAGCCTGTGCTAGGCGAGGGAGTTTCCCTCGTCGATCCTGCCACATCAATAAAACACCACATTGACAGAAGTGTATAGTTGGGGATGGTGTTAATTATAATTAACGATTGACTAATTCGCAAAGAATTTATAGCGCAAGCTCATGGAAGAGGTTCTTTAGGCAGCGTCCTGTTGCCGTGTGTAGGGGAGCGGTTCATGAGAAAAGATGGGACGGATCCTTGCAGCAGCAGCGGTCTGGCGTATGTCGCTTGCTGTAATCTTGATATGTAAGGCCTGGACGCGGCTTTCGAGTTGTTTGACGCTGCTTACGCGGACAATGGGAACGGCTTCTGGGGATACATGCTTCATGTATGCCAAAGCCTGTTTTTATCAGCATACGTCCCTACTACAAATAATCCCGGAGGGACTCACAGTGTTGGCGATGGTCGCATCCGCCTTTGTGGCAACTTTTCTGAGTTCCTGAGTGACAATCCTGTCTGCCTAAGACGCTGGTGTCAGGCTGAACCTATCGTAAGGTTCTCCTTGCTTGGTGGCCGGTAAGGCTTCGTAAAAGTCGCCCTCTATCTTACACCTTATGGCTTCAGCTTCTTCAGGAATATCACATAGTGTCACACCTAATTCATGGGTTTTGCACATTGGCTGGATCTCGTGTTCGAAGTCGCGAGAGTAGGCAGACCATGTCCCGCGATACACGACAAATCGACAGAGACGAGCGTAATAGGCGTCTACGCATGTTATCAGCGTATGTCCGACTCCCGATCAGTATGGGAACTCAATGCTTACAGCAGTTTGCTTCTGCCACATACCAGGCAGGGGTATCTGAAACGCCCCTAAGAACAAAGTCAGCATCATACTTCGCAGAGTGTTCTTCCAAGTGCTCACAAGAATCTGATATGAGTAGCCTTGACAGCAGAGGTCAGAGGTACCATCATCTTGGTAAGTGTTGCCGCGGCGTCACACTTGAGCGGATTCAGCAGAATACAGACGATAGCCCGGAAACAGTACTACTCACCTGGTGAACGTAGAATATGTCAACCCAAGGTCTATCTAGTCTGCGCAAAGAACTTTCGAGCGAGTCCATGATCGAGTCTTCTTTGGCCCCACTCTCGGAACTTATTGCAATACTTTTCTACCTATCAGGCTGATGAAACCAATCGATGTTCGAGAAGTTGTACTTACATCATGTCCTTGCGAGTATTTCGCATCTTCATCCAGTACCCTATTGTTTTTTCAATCCATGGTTTTTGTGGATTGCTGGCTATGTTTATGAAACTGCCACCAGCCTGGTGAAAGGCGTTCAGGATGTCGAAGAGTATAACTCTTTCGCGGTATCCCGGTGTTGAGTTGCCAAGATCGGAAGGTTCGAGTTCGAGGCACAAAGGAGAAACCCAAAACTTGATGGCCGGCATTAGATGTTGGCGGGTTTCTAGTATATTGGCGACGACGGCCATCTTGGATATTGATATTCGATTCTGGGTAATAATTGATGATATGATGGTTGAGGTGATCAATACTGAACTGTGAAGGTGGATGGAAAGCGGCATAAGTCAGATCTGGTGAAATGTTAGGGTCGCTGCTTCCGCAACACGTTTCGTTCCTGTGATTTGGAGTTCCGGATATCATTTTCATTACGGCGTAGCTCGCATGGAACGCTCCTGCCGGCAAAAAAACTCCCTAAGACCTATCAAGAGTGCCTACTTGTCTTCATGAAGTGGTATCCGTCTGAGTAGTAGTTTTGACTCATACATCGCATCGCGGATGTATGGGCACAGAACGCTGTCAAAAGGCAGGATGTTGTTGGTCTTCATGCAATTGATCAAGGAGATCACCAAGACTGCCGCCCTCAGTTGATCATCAAAACATCCGGTGTTTTCTTCCCAACCGGGGTGATCGGCTTCGGAGGGAGTCACTCCAGCACCGGTGAGTTTTCTCTGCAGCCATCTTCATGATGAATCACTCAGAGTATCGCAGTGTTCTCTTAAGCAGGTTCAAGACGTGACTGCTCTTGACGTGCTTTACTAACACAGATCCCAGTCTGTGGAGCGAATGGGCCTGTCGGCTGTTGATTGCACCGTTGTGATTACTCTGCATCCTGCTCTGTGGAAATCTGGAATGTTGTATCCGGCCAAGGGTCGTAGTGTCAAGAATCTTCGAGGCTTGGTGCAATGTGGATGGAGCGATGTGTCCGCAACATCCGTTGGCAACATTGAAGCCTGTCTGTCCTCGACGATCGCCTCATCCAAACACTTTTTCCGTCAACACTGCCATACCCACAACCATGTTTCCCACCCTCGCTCTGCGAAACTTCGCCTGCCGCATCACTCTGTTCACACGATCAAACTGCAAACTATGTTCAGATGCGAAGGAAATTTTGTCGAATGTATGGGACAAGCGACCCTTCGAGTACGATGAGATCAACGTGATGGACCACTCTGATCAGAAATGGAAGAACATGTATGAGTTTGATACTCCTGTGGTAAGATTGAAAACTGGAATCTTCGCTGTAGTCTATTTAACGGTATTGCAGATACACGTAGACAAGGCAAAGGAGGCCAGCCAATTCGGCACCACCCACGAGGCCAAAAAACTGATGCACAGATTCAAGGAGCACGAGGTCGAGAAATTGATGGACGAAGCCATGATGGATTCACCTTCTTCTTCCTCGACTTCGGCTTGATTGAGGTCCTGTCTCACGTCGCGAACGAATGTATCTTCCCGGCTCAGGTGGGAAACAGCTACTGCCGATGACGGTGCGGGGCATACGCCCTACATGTTTACTCATACAACTGCTTCACTTCTCTTCCGCATCAATTCATTGACTCATCGGAAGATATAACATCACATCCAATTTCACCGAAACTCATCAAGAGTTGACAATCAAAATCTCGACCCTCAGTTCTAGGAGTCAATCATCTGCATCCACTAAATCTCACCGACAATGCAAGCAGCAAATCACCTCCACAAAGCCCTGCACAGCAACACTCTTTCCCTAGGAGCATGGCAAATGCTCCCGGGCTCAAATCTCTCTCGTATCCTCGCCCGTAAAGGCCCAACATGGATCTGCGTCGACACCGAACACGGCAACATCAGCGACAGTGCCATGCACGAGTCCGTCGCCGCTATCGCTTCCTGCAATGTTTCCCCCATCGTCCGCACTGTTTCCAACGAAGGCTGGATGATCAAGCGCGCTCTGGACGCTGGAGCTCATGGCATAGTCATCCCTCAACTAAACACTGCTGAAGAAGCCTCGGCGGTGGTGAAAGCAGCAAAGTTTCCTCCACAGGGTATCAGAGGGTTCGGAAGCCCATTTGCAATGGAGAGGTTCGTGTCGAAGTCAGGCAGCGGCGAACCAGTCTCAGCGGCCGAGTACTTGCAACAAGCCAATGATGCCCTCGTCACCATCATCCAGATCGAAACCCAACAGGCACTGGACAATGTAGACGCCATCGCCGCAGTCCCCGGCGTAGACGTCTTGTTCGTTGGCCCCTACGATCTAGGCAACAGCATCGGCTACCCCATCCTCAGCGAAGGTATGCACGACGAGCTCAAAGCTGCCATTGAGAAGATTCATGCCGCGGCAAAGAAAGCTGGCAAGCACTCGGGCATTTACTGTACAGATGGCGATCAAGCGAGACATTACGCGGACAGAGGGTTCACAATGATCAGTTGTATGACGGACTCATTGGCTTTGGGTCAAGGCGTGAGTACGGCATTGGGCAGGGCAAAGGGATCTTGGGGTCATGCTGCGTTGCAAGGTGTCAAGCAGGGTGCAAGTAAGATTGCTGGGTCGACAGGTGGCGGTGGTAGTGGATCAGGACCATACTGAGACGACTGCTGGTAATCAAGCTTCAACATCATAATTGCAATGTCATCATCTGCCATCAACATACTACGGTTCATGGGGATAGAAAAACGTGACATTCGATCTTGTTTTTGCAATTGTGATTGAGAATGAACCAGGCGCAGACCATGCTTCCAAGGTCCAGTCAGTTGCCCTCTCTCATTGCGAAATAGCTGCATCGGAAAAGAGCAAAGGCTAGGGGAAACAAAGGGGTATAGTCGTTGAAGACAGTCTCAAGCGCTTCCATATCGTCCGCGCCGAGGCAGAATATATCCACCAAGTTACAACAAGTCAAAAGGGAAAAGGAGACAAGAACCAAGGAGGGAAAAAAATCTGAAAGAGTTAAAAGAAACATTATTACAAAAAAGTTCTATGCAGCTGAGTGCGGGACGCTTCGAAACGAAAGAGATAAACGTCGAACTTTTTATGATCATCGCCTTTCAAAAACAAACGCTGTCTCGTTCTTCCTGTTGGTATTATGTTTTACGGCCATCGTGAGGCGTGAGAAGGGAAATGGTCCATCGTGCTTGTTGTCAGACTGTTGAAAGCCCGAACAGAGGCAGCAGTCTACTTCGTATCCTGATGGTCTTGCGATTGACCCTCGTAGTCGTGATGACTTTGTGCAAAAGGTGGTCGCCATCCAACTACTCCTCAGCCCATCTCTTCTCCCGCAACGTCGGCTCACGTCCTTCTCTTTCTCTCGATCCGTCCTGCTCAGCCTTCCAAGCCCAGTACTCGCCCAATCGGATCTCGGCATATGAAGCGTAATCAAAGTCAATTTGCGAGATGGTCGCTTGAATCAGAGCCCAGATACCCCAGTAGAAGCCTGGCAGACCGCGGAAAGTGTCGACTTGGTTTATCAATTGCTGCTTTTCGCGCTCGATGGTTTCCGAATCCGATACAGGAGCGAAATTGCGGTAAGAGGCGAGGTATTGGGTGATGAAGTCGGCGCGCTGACTGCGAGTGGGCAGAACGGTGTAGTCGCAGTCGAAACCGCCCCATTCGGCAAAGTGATTGGCGATATCGAAGGCAGCGGGTGCGGGCGTTGCGTACTCGTAGTCGATAAAGCTTACTGTGAGGCCTTTCCCTCCTTCCCTCTGACCTGGGTGTACGATTACATTGCCGGATAGCAGATCGCAATGGGCGAAAATGTAGTCATAGCCGTCCAAGCCGGGAGTTGAGCCTAGTTCGTGGGAGAGATGTGTGAGTTCTGTTTGTAGCATGTCCTTGCGATCCTTCTCTTTCTGTGTAGCGACTGGTAGCGCGTGAATCCACTCTTGCATGACGGTCCAGAGACTCGGCTTCGGCCTCACATTTCCAGCTTTGTCTACATGTTGTTCGATTTGCGATGCGTCTGAAACGTCATTCTGGTCTTGGAGTGTCTGTAGCGAGCTAATGGCGGCAATGGGTAGTGTGCTGTGCCATTGACCGAGTCTTCGTGCGACGGCGCGGTATACATCTGGTCGGCGGAGGTCTTCTGGACTGCATACGTCGCCCGCGATGTATTTGTACAGTAGGCCGTTCTCGAAGCGTGCGAACAGCGGAGGCGCTAGTCCGCGGCCCGCAAGCAGAGAATGCGATCGAGTTTCTCCTATTGTGGTTGTCAATTGGGAATGCCGCTGGTCGCAGGTAGCAGAGACGTACTCTCGCGGTCTATCAAGACATCTGTTCCTTTACCGTATGCTCTCAAGAGGATGGCATCCGCGTCAATGTCCTGTTGTGTGTATCCTGGTCGCTTCTTGATCGCTTTCATAAGCTGTGGTTGTCGCGGGTCAGTAGAGGGTTCTGGCATGAATGGACATAACGGGCTTGCCTCTTACGTACAGTATTTGTGATGCCCTCTGTGAAAGGGATCAGTTCAACCGGGCCTTCCGAGTGCTCCCAGTCGGGGCATAGTGTGTATATCAGGCGCAGAGCGGACCGCGTCGAATCGGTGTGGTCGTAGCAGAGGTCAATGTGTCGGACGGCCATGGGAGAGTCTGCTCTGAGCAGGTGCAAGTCCATGTTAGATTGTTGCGAATTAAAGTAGAGAGGCAGGCACGCGGGGCAGGCAGTACAGGAAACAGCAATCAAGCAGCGGTGTTGGTAGAGGGTGGAAGTCGAACAAGTTCACACGGATGGTTGCGAGATTCCAGTCGAGCCACGCAGAAAACAAGGCGAAGGTCAAGGGACGGGCAATTGCTGCAAACAAGTTGGTCGTGTGAGTTGAGAGGGGTCTCGGGAATTGGGAATTGGACGAGGGGCCAGTGCAGGATTCAAGCACCCACTTTGGTAGGCCCTGAACTGAAGAACGCGCCTCGACTACGAACATGCCAAGCCGCTCCCTTTTTCCACGGACTTTGATCAAAGGAAAGCCTAGAAAGGGGGGCTCGAAACCCCTTGACCCAGCTCTCGTCGCGACTATTGCAGCAAAACATCCTGCAACCAGACAGTGCACAAACACTCCTTGTAGGGCGCCTTTTCTCTGTTTTCTCTTCTTGTTCGAAATTGCTCCTCACTTTCCTTTCCGCTGTGTCGAGATTACCCGCCCAAAAGGTTTCAAGCTCGGCCTTGGGAGATGACGCACTTTCCTTCCTTCTCTGCTTGCAAAACCTCTCTATTTCCACGTGATTGGTCGTTAAACTATATTGTTTTGGCATGTGATCGTGCTTCGTCCGGCTTGTCGCAGACTTCTAGAATTTGGGCTGCAGAGCTTCGAGCTTCCTTTTCTGGCACTGATCTTCTGAAGGCATTGCAAGCTGATTTTCTGATCAATTGATTGAATAATGTGCTAGCTTTTGTTTGAGACCGCTCGTCAGCACAGTGACATTCGAAGAAAACACAAAAAGTGATCAAAGCAAGCAAATCAGGGGTGGAAACAAGAGTATTAAAGTAGGAGAAACAATAATTTTGCCCTTCCCATAAGTCATGTTTGACCGAAAACGAAAACAGAGAGGATATCTATGGTTGCTAAAAACGCCAGTCGTCCCCAGTTTAGAAAAAGTAATGACAAGAAAAAGAATACAAGAAAGAGACCCATTCGCTCAAAGCCATTGTTACAGTCAGAGCCATTTTGTCAAGACAACTCAGTTCTTAGTGCTGTCGTCGACCTTGACATCAGGCTGTCCGCCGAAAGGCCCTGATCCGAAAGCAGGAGTAGTGTCGTTGGATTGACTAGGTGGGTGGTGGCCATCAACCTTCTGCTGAACTACAACAGGATCTTGCGGCTTGGTGTCAGGGTGAATGTCGAGACCGCTCTCACGGCTCAAATCACTTCGCGATCTGGCACGAGCAAACTTCATGCTGTCGTTATCACCATGACCACGTTCTATCGGGGACCATGCAGCGCCGATACTGCCTGCGACAATACCAGCCATAGCAGCTCCGGCGAATGCAGAGTTTGATCGCGAACGGCCACGCGAGCGGCGGCGCGAGTCGGGAGTGGGAGGTGCAAGTGACTGTGCTTCTCCTTCGCTGTGCTCGCCGTTGGGTGTTTGCGGCAATGACATGCTACTACGCGAACGAGATGCCGAGCGGGAGTGCAGAAGGGCTTCGCGGGGGTGCTTGAGTGTGAACTTGATCTGGTTGAGACGACCGCCCTTGAATCTCTTGATGAAGGCAAGCTCATCACGGATGTCGAGAAGGGCCTGGGTGTATTCGAATGGTCGCTCCTCATCCTCAACAACAAGCTTAGGGGCTGCCTTGCGCTTGACCCACTCAGGGACCAGACGAGCAACAAGCTCATCAGGAATGAGACGGATGATGATACCAACCGGAAGAGAGATGGCACCCAGACCGACAGAGTAGGCCCACTCCTCGCCAGTAAGACGCTGGACACTGAAAGCACGACCTCCCACGAACATGATCATAACTTGTCCGCCAATCATAATGAGCGCGATGAAGATGAAAAATTGGTTGCGTTGGACGCCCTCGAAAATGTTGAACTTGTTGTCAAGACGTCTGTTGTTGAACATGTTGAAGATCTGGAACCAGACGAAGCAGTTGAAGACCATGGCGTTAAGTCTTTCTCTTTCGTTGTCGTCGCTGTAGCTGAGCAGACCGCCATCGTCGCTGCGGTGCTGGCCAAAGAACAGGACGAAAGTGACGACAAGTTGGAAGATTGCTTGGCCAATGATCATCTTCCACATGTTCAATGTTATGAGAGGTGCGGACTTGGGAGCGGGCTTGCGGTTGATGATGTTGCGAGTGGGAGGGTCGGTGGCGAGAGCGAGAGCAGCGAACGTGTCCATGATGAGGTTGACCCAAAGCAGCTGGACTGCAGTCAGGACGGAAGCCTCTTCGTCACTGGCGACGGCGGACACGAAAGCCAACAAGACGGCGGTGATGTTGACGGTGATTTGGAACTGCAAGAACTTCTGGACGGCGTCGTTGACTGCACGACCCCACATGAGTGCCTTGATGATGGAAGCAAAGTTGTCGTCCATGAGAATGATGTCGGATGCCTCCTTTGCGACTTCTGTGCCAGCGATACCCATGGAAAAACCGACATCGGCGGCTTTAAGAGCAGGAGCGTCGTTGGTACCATCACCAGTGACCGCGACTGTTTCGCCCATCTCCTTCAAACGTTTGACGAGAACACGCTTGTCATCGGGAGAAGATCTTGCTAGGACTTGGAGCTTGGGAATAACGGCCAACTGCTCTTGCTTGGACATCTTTCTGAAGACAGGTCCTTCAAGAGCGACACCTCCAGTGGTGAAGATACCGCACTCAGTAGCAATAGCCTTTGCAGTCAAAATGTTGTCACCAGTAACCATACGGGGGAAGACACCAGCAGTAAGGCAATCCATGACAGCCTCTGTTACACCGGAGCGTAGAGGGTCCTGGATACCAATGACACCGAGGAAGGTCATGTCCTTGAGGATATCTTCGAAGACAGCTTGAGTCTTGTCATCCTCTTGTCTGCGAGCGTTCTTTGGCGGCCATTGTTCGAATTCGCGATAAAGGAACCCGATAGTACGGAGAGAGTTAGATGCGTAGGTCTCGATAAGCTGGTTGAGAGTCGTGACATTGTCGTTAGAGATGGACACGGCGTCGACACCCTTGCTAGGGTCTCTGATGATCATTGTAGCATGTCTCAGCATGATCTCAGAAGCACCCTTGACATAGAGTCTGTACTTGTTGCCAACCTTCTGGACAACACCCATGCACTTGCGACCAGAGTCGAAAGGCATGAATTGAACAAGCTCGGCGTTTGAGCGTTCAGTGATAATGGAGTCCATACCAAGGAAGTCGCGGGCAAAGGACAGGAGAGCAGTCTCGGTCTTTGAGCCGATGAAAGTGGGCTTACCATTCTCTTCACCCTCGAAGGCAGTGGAGTTCAGCGCTATCGAGTCCTTCATGAGAACCTTTACGTTGTCGCCCAGGGTACTGACAAACTCGGTGGTATCCAAGCTGTCGACGGCACCTTGACTCTCCTGATCCTTGCTGCTCTTGCCACTAAAGCGGGAAGTTGTTCCGACAGTGCCAGCGACAACAGTCATGACATTTTGGGTGAGAGTACCGGTCTTGTCGGAGCAGACTGTGGTAGCGTTACCCATGGTTTCGCAGGATCTGAGCACACGAACAAGATTGTTATCTTTAGTCATACGCTTGGTAGCAAAGGCCAGGGCCAGCGTGACTGCCAAGGGCAGACCCTCAGGGACTGCTACGACAACAATGGTGACAGCGACAATCAGGATGTTGAGGAAGTTTTGTGCCTTGTCCGATGGGCTTCTATCGTCATTGGGCAGCTTTGCGCAGAACTTGATGAGCAGAACGACGAACAGCAGCAGTGCGGCAGCTCCACCAAGTTTGGCAATGTACTCGGCCAGAACGTTCAGCTTGGATTGCAGAGGGGTAACCTCGTTGTCCTCGCGAAGAGACATCATGGTTTTTCCGTAACTCGAGTTCACACCAGTAGCGACGACGAGGAATTTGCCCACACCCTCGGTGATCTTGGCTCCAGAAAGAATGAAAGGATCGAGTTTCTTAAGAGGCTCTTGGGCTTCCATGGCGCGCCACACCTCCTCAGAGGCGCTCTTCTTGATAATATCAGATTCACCGGTTGCAGAAGATTCGTCGCACTTGATGCCGTGACCTTCGATAAGCACACCATCGACTGGGACCATGTCACCAGGTTCGAGAAGCAAGACATCACCAGCGAAGATGTCGTGAACGGAAATCTCCTGAGTCTTTCCAGAGCGAATGACCTTGACCATGCGGTTGTCCTTCTTCTTGTTGAGTTTGACGAATTGACGCTCCTTCTGCCAGTCGTTGAGGGCACCGACAGAGACGACGATGACAATAGCGACAACGATAGCGACACCTTCGACCCACTCCACTCTAGGGACACCAGGGGCGTGGGGGGTTCCGAAAGTCTGGTACAGACCAAGAGCGAGTGAGACAACGGCGGCTCCGGTAAGCAAAAGGAGAATCTTGTCCTTGTATGCTTCCCAAGCGAGAAGCCAGAGTGGCTTCGCCTTCTTTTCGGGAAGGCGGTTGTCGCCAAAGATGCGATGACGGTCAGCAAAGGCGCCCGAGCCAGGTGTAGTAGCGTTGCCGGCCTGCGAGTGGTATTGTGCGTTGGGGTTCTGGTGGTCAGTGGCCTCCTCGAACGATACGTGACCATCAAGGTGTTGTTCATCCAAGCTCAGACCAGTCTTGCGGTCTGTTCGGAGACCCTTCTCGATACCGGCGATACCTCCTAGGGCATGGAATGCGCCCAGACTCTTGGGGTTGTACATTTTTCCCATCTGACCAGGAGTGAAAGCGAAGGGATTGTTCTCTCTGCTGAAGTCGGGCTCGGTGCCGGGATCAGGATGTAATGCCTCGGTGGCGCTAAGGACTTCGGGACCACCATGGCTGTCTTGCGGGCCAAAGGCTTTGGGCATACCGTGTTCTGGTGATGAGTTTACGTATGTGCCTGTTGATGTGGACTCTGCACCGAGTGTGTCGAAGGAACCAGCGCGCGAGCGGGCCGGAGGAACGGAGAGGAAGTTCTGATGGTTGTTGAAGGTCGGTGATGATACATTGTGAGGAGAGGTCGGTCGGCTGTTCTCGTTATCAAACGAGTTTGATGGGCGCAGCTCAGTGGGCGAAGTCTGGTAGGGGTGCAGCCCTGTTGAAGATTGGTCATTGCCCTGCACGGCGGAGCTGTTGTCAGAAAGGGTGTCCATTGCGATGTCCGGATTCGAGGGTCTACCCACTGCTGAAGTGTCTATGGTGATGGTGGGTGCCCTGTTACGGCGACCTTGGACGGGCGTGTCCTGGTCTTGGTTGAAAGGATTTGAGTCTGACATGGTTGTGTGGCTGTTGTTGCGCCGCAAGGATGCAGCACGCTGTGGTTATGTGAAGTTCAATGAACAATGGACATTCGCAGAGCTGTGGCTTGACCTTTGATGCAGTGGAATGGGGCGAATAGAGAGGCTGTGCTGAAGGCGTCAAGCTGTGGTCGAGGCCGTGGCAGTGGCAGTGAGGGCTCAAGTGATGTCGTTCAGGGATGGTAGATGCTCATAGGACTAGACACATGATAGAGCATCAGCAATCCGACATGACTTGGCCCATATACAAATGTCATACGGCAGGGGGGCGCAGTGATAAAAGTCCAAGAGCCAAGTCTTTCTTGGTCTCGTTTGGCTGGTTGCTATGCGGTAGAAGAATGTGGAAAGAGGCTTTATTACACTTTACCATCGACACTGCCCGTTGCGGGTTATTCAGTATGCCAACGCTCGTCTTCACCGGCCGGCTAGTAGCTGTGTGCAGCGTGCTCGAGTAGCGATATGCTAGGCACTGCGGCGATAGGCAGGCTGTGCTGAGTCAAATGGTCGTTTTTGCGAATATGCAACTGCTCGATTTGATAAACAGCTTCACATGAGCTGATGCGCAGAGGGAGAAGGGAGCAGGGAAGCTTCGAACAACAAGGAGTCAATTGTATAGACAGAACTGGATTTGAACTGCGACTGTCGCCAGACAAAGAAAGTCAGCAAGCAGTTGTCAGAAGACACAGCTGTTCGCCAGCTCTAACTACTTTTCTCCTCCCTTGACCTTTCGCATGGTGTTGTGACATTGGCGGTGTTCGTGCCAAGAGCACTGCCCCAAAGATGAAAGCACTAGCGTGAGGCTTCTCGATCGACCCTTCCCGCCTCGGCCCCCTGTCAAAGAGCCTCATCGTCCGCTTCCATTGGCCGTTGCGCCTGACTCTTGCTCGGCCATGGTCTTCTTTATGTGACCTGCCTCCTCCCTGTGCATCTCCTGGCGGCTCCATACAGTGTTTGCGCGACCTTGGGTGCTTGACACACACCAAAATGCCGCAACAGTTTTTCTTTGCCCAGCCGAGCACAGCATGAATCTGGGGCCTAAAGTAATCGATAAATTACTACAACCGAAGCCTTGGTCCTTTCTCATTCAACGCACAAACACTCTCATTTCAACATTCTGCAACCGAACAGATGCTATAGATTGTCCTGTTGTGATGCCATGGCTATCAGCAAAACAGCCACTTGACAGTGGTGGCGCTTTGGTGCGACTCCATCGACTGGCCCTTGGCTTCTTGTATCCCAACGACCTGTCTCGTGGACGAATTGAAGCAGGCATCACTTTGATACATTCTAAATCTTGAGCTCTGTACTTCTTCACATCTGCTGTGCTTACCTTCCGCCATACTCCGCAAATCCACTTATTGACTCAAGCCTACATGATGGCGTGAGGATCATATCTCGCTCATCGTCGACCTTCTTGAAGAGGACATGCTTTTCGAAGCTTCGATAGGCCGGGAATTGGCATCCAAGTACACAGCCCCCCGCCAAGGTCAACAGGCACACCACAGGATACCGCAGAGTGAGGTCAGCGATTGCTCCGGTTTCTGCTTACCCGTACGCCCTACACGAGCATGGTCTACACTGTGACAATTGGCAAATCGTATCGGAAAGAAGGCCGTCATCACCTGTGTCTATCTCTATCTTCTATGAAGCATTCAGGCAAATCGCTATGAGCTTGTAACATAGACCGCGGTCGGCCAAGCATCAGCCCTGTCCGTCATCAAGCGCCAAACACTCTTCGTAACAGGTACGGCGCAAAGAGGTCAACACCGGGCGACTGTACACATCTTCCGACTCGGTTACCTGCATTGGGGCTGAGCCAGTTGCCTGCATCACCAGGGATTTCACCCTCGCCGTCGTCCGGAGCCCGCTTCTTTCTACCACGCGTGTCAACCACCGTCATTCCCCGTGTCCACTGACCCGTCGTCTCGATTCTGATATCCTCGTCCTTCTTGATCTTCCAACCAGCATCGTCGTGAGTAATTGCATACCAAATGCACAGAGGGTCGTGCAATTCGAGACCAACGGAATCTCCACTCACACCTTCCATCAACGACTCAACCTTTGCGAAAGTCGAGTTCAGGAATGCTGCGGTCCACTCTGCCAAGGGCGACCCAGCCTCGATCAAAGGCTGAATGGTCTGTTTAACCTGCCCCCTTGTGATCTTATGAGGTGTGGTGATATCGAGTGGGAAGACGGTAAGCTTGAGTTGTCTCGACAGCTTCGCCGGGTACGGTGCCAAGTGAGGCAGTGATTCTGAGCCAGGCAGTGCAGGAGGAATGGTCGAGTTCGGGGTGGGCGAAGTAAGTGCATATACACGGGCCGTGGCGATGCTGTCGGCATACGTGTTGAACTCGGCCACGGGAGTTACCTTGTTACGAATATTTAGATCTGTGCGTAGGAGTGTTTGGGGAGCCTTTATCAGACGAAAGGGCGGCTCTGGGATTGAGACGGATGGGTAGATAGGGGGAGGGGGCTGGCGTACATTTCCTGGCTCGTTGATGGTATTTCCCATCACGACTACTTCCTTGACACGCAAGAAGGTCTCTGGATCTTGAGCTGCTGCGATGGCCAAGTTGGTCAGAGGTCCAATCGCAACGATGGTGATGGTGTCTGGTTCGTTCTCCTTCAACAGACGCAAGATCTCCTCATGCGAACGACGCTGAGATGGCTTGAACATAGAAGACTCCCGCACTTCTTGAGAGGCATCGAAAAGTGTCTTCCACGTCTCCTGGGGAGTCAAATGAGGGTGCTTTAATCATGTCAGTCAACCGAAGCTCTTGCCATACAGACTTTGCCAGCACATACACTAGAATGAATACCACCAAGACCATCGATACCGTCTATCTGGAGGTCAGTATCTCATCATGATTGCTGTGTCCTCGTAGTACTCACGGAAGAAGTCGGCCATCATGAGCTGCTCTGCCAGTGGTTCTTCAGCACCGACGGCGACAAGAGGCTTCGAAGCTCTCAAAGTCTCGAAGCCCAGGTCTTTTCCATTCTTCTGTCTCCATGCGATCTCCTGCTCCACATGGTGGAACAAGGAGACTGCGTTACGGAGACAGTTTTGGACATCAATATTGCCGAATGTCAGGGAGATGAGGAGGACTTCAATTTCTTCGGGGGTGGCAGAAAATGCTAGTAGCATAGCCAGGATATCATCAACTCCCTAGGATAGCGTGTTGGCCAACATGTTGATGATAGGACGACTAAGTCGGTATAGGCAGACGTACTGGGTCGGTATCAATGATGATCTTTTGCTTGGGCGCCATGATGGTGGATGTTTCGATTCTATATCTTCCGGTAGACTCAAGGTAATGTTGATGAGTTGCAAAGACAATGTCTGAATCCTGCGATGTGTTATCTTGATATGTCCTGCATCGAGAGTAGTGGATGCTCAGTGTCAGAAAGCGTGACGTTGCTGCCCGCTTTTTTGACACGACTCTATCTTACAACAGCAAATCACTTTATTGTAATATAGACTCGATCAGGATATGATTTTCAGCCTCAAAGACAAGTGAGAGTAGCAGAGAACATAACGGCTTGAAAGTATGTAGCTCGAAGAAATCAAAGGCAGTCTCAGAGAGATATCCTTCAGTCCACACAATGACAGGGTGGCAGCAATAACAAGCTCGTCGGACTTCACTTGGAGGATGCTTTGTGCACAGACCACATCAACGCGAATAAAACTTTCTTCCTCCTTGCGATCCTTCTTCCTCCTCTCAACAATGTCTAGATGGTTGTCTTTAGAGTCTCGGTACGACTTTTCAATGTTTGTACAGGTCCATGAGGCCTCATTCAGCGTGCTCCGACAGCCACAGAATCAAATACGCCTTCTGTCTAATTGTATCTATCTTCTCTCGGGAAGAGATGGGAATGCAGCATGGACATGGGTGTGAAATCTCTATCTTTTATATACATGATACTTTTCGTGAGTTGAACTTCTGAGTGCAGCAGCGTATCTACTTGATACCTTGCGCGCGCTGTCTCATCTTCAATCTGAGGAAGGAACGAAGGAGAGTCAACAAACAAAGAATTTCGCGATGAAGGGAGTTGCGGATTTTCTCACCTCAAGAGACCTGCCTTTGGGCAACTTACGGTCGACGCGCTATCGCCATTCTTTTCGTAAAAGGCATTGCAGCATTCGTACAAAGCGTCAATCTTTGTGCGATCAGCCGTGTTCTTGAGCTCGTGAACAGAGTTCAGCCTACCTGCTTCTGGCATTTGCTCTCGTCGTAGCCGTTCTTCTGTATGCAGTCTGGTACTGCGTGAGCAGGCTGTCTCCAAGATACAGACACAACACCATACCTTGAATAGCACATGCGCGAGGATGACACGGAGGGTCTGTCTTGAGATCTTTGTCCAAACCCTGCACTGCATCAGTCCAATTGCATTCTGAGAAAATGTGTGAAGGCTGTCTTTGTCTCCTTCACCTCAGAAGTGATGACTTCATACCATGATTGTGATTGTTGTGAAAGCCGTATAGGAAATGAAGCGTGAAGACTTGAGACAAAGTGAAGAATTGAAAGAGTGGACAGGACGATTCTCGCAACTTCTGTGGAACGTCGAGTCTTGTAATAATGCGGTGTTGTATGCGACTGCCAGGCGCTTCAGTGGACGGGAATCGACGAAATGGCATCTGCGACAAAAGAGGACCCCGCGCGTGTCTTCAGTTGAGCGCGAACTGGCGTCACTGCTGCCTTTTCATCTTCAACTCTCGACTCTCCAACACTTCCTTTCGCATTCACACGCGCCCTGCATCAAGGTATTTCTCCTGCGACCAGCCTTCGTCTCTTTCTGCCACAGCTGATCACCGACTCAGCTCTTCCATATCCAGCATTCTCGACCCGCGCCACCACGTGAGTCGCATCAGCAGTAAAGAACCACTTCTTTGACAGCACACGGTACGATCTCCCGTCTCTCCAACATCTCGCATCATCAACAATCAATCTCTCAAACACAGCCATCTGACTCGCTGCACCGTATACAGAACAAACACAATGTCCGACACTGGATCTCCACCTCAGAAGCCCGAGGGCGGCGAGCACCTTAACATCAAGGTCACCGATAACAACAACGAGGTCTACTTCAAGATCAAGCGCACCACCCAGCTCAAGAAGCTCATGGATGCCTTCTGCGACCGTCAAGGCAAGGCTCCCACCAGCGTGCGATTCCTCTTCGATGGTCAAAGAGTCAACCCCACCGATAACCCAGAGACTGTGAGTAGTTGCCTTGATATCCCCACCTCCATCTTTTGAACCACACCTAACGCGAGCCCACAGCTCGACATGCAAGACGGCGACACTCTCGAGGTCCATCAGGAGCAGATCGGTGGCTGCTGATCTCGTCCTTCTCAACACAACCCACCATACCCACTAAACTCGACGGAGCCGTAAGAGAAACATACTGGATGGCCACATCAACAATGAACAGACGAAGGAAAGGAAAGGGGTGCACTTATAAGTGCAACTTGGCGTTTTTACTGCCCAAGCTGGAGTTTTCGTTTACACCAAGGGGCGGCCCCGTCTATACCAGGCCCTGAATTGAGGCGTGAACTTCTGCAAGGCGCTATTCTTTGTCGCCAGGAGGGGCATGCACGATGGTTTTTTCCCTCGCCTTTTCTTGCGGCCAGTATTTTACTCCTTTTCTACCTTTTTGTTCACAGACTCTTGCAAAAGGCGATCGTGGTTATCATAAATCAAGATCTGATTGCTATTGAACTTTCTGTCTCGAGTTTGTCTCCCTTCTGCTGCTTCAAATGCTATCAAGCTTTTGCATTATCGACTTCAAACGAGGAATGTCATGCTGCTTTATTTTCTTTCGCCCCTCAAATGCACCCATGATTCCGCAGAAAACGGCCCCTGTTGGAAGTTCAAGAAAACGCTGCCCTCTTCAGCCTTTATGTCCTCCGTACTGCTTGATGGTTCTTCAACTGCCTCAGCTCAGCATGTGCCTTTTCTGGCCCAATAACCCAGCATGCTCTTGCCTCTGCGCGACCTCTTCTAGAGTCACTTGACAAGACGCTCTTTTGTCGCCAAAGGCCATGCCACGAACCCCTAGCCCTTGTAGCTACATGTGGCGCCATCATCCAAGATAGCAGCCATTCTCACAACCCAAGCTCCAAATTCTCTGGAGTCCAGACTTTCTCCACAACCGTGCATTCAAACGTTGTTCCTTCGCGCAGACCCATCCCCCTTTTCTTCAATCATCCCAAATAGCAGCTTTAGCCTTGGCTGCGTCCTCCTCGGCCTTTTTTCTAGCTTCTCGCTCCACATCTCTCTTTCTCTTCTCTTGCTCTCTGATGGCTTTGTCGTAAGCTCTTTGTTCCTCGGTGCGTCTGGGCATCTTGACACCCAATGCGCCGGCGATAAGGCGGTGAGCTACTGCGTTTGTCTTTTCCGGACGGCGTTCGAGGGTCGAGGTTGAGGTGGCAGAGCCTGAGGCGGAGGAGGAGGGGCGAGATATAGGGCGGGAGGGGAGAGTGGTGGTTGTGGTGGTTGGAGGTGTGAGTGAGCGAGAGGGTGGGGAGGGTGCGGCTGAGCGGTTTTTGAGATGGGGTGGGATGTAGGATGACTTGGGAGCAGCAGCAGCTGGTGACGAGTCGCGGTCGGTGGTGGAGGCAGAGACGGATTCAGGTTTGGCGGAAAGTTGGGGAGTGGTGGTGATGTCCTTGTCTGAACCAGCCTCTTCCTCCCACGATTCTGCAACTTCAGGCTCCTTGACTGGTGCCTTCGTCGACGCGGTCGAGGTGCCAGGGTACTTCTTGTGGGGCGGCATGCTCTTGGTTGTGGTCTTAGGCTCGGCTACGGACTCGGCTGCTTGCTCTGGGGCAGCAGTGGGTGTCTTGTCGTTGGGAACAGACATGGTTGAAGTAGGAGGTGTGCGAGTGTCGGAAGTCTTGGGCGCTTGGGATGACTTGCGGTGTGGTGGTGTGTAGCGAGGAGCATCAGCATGTCGCTTGGAATTCAAGGACATCTTCTCCATATTGTGTGAGAGTCTGTCGGTCGTGTGAGAGCTAGCCATAGTGAAGGTGCGGATTCGAGGAGTCAAATGGTATGAAGTGAGAGGATCAAGATCGACCAGAGGATGCGAGTGGGAAGGGTAGCGACCAACAGCAAGCGAGTAAGCAAAGCAAACAATCAGGGAAGAAGAGATAGTGAAAGAAAGTGGGGAATTTTAGTCCGAGTGAACAGAAAATGGTATACGACTTGATCTCGAGTCAGAAAGTGAAATCGCAAAGCCAAAATCGAACCCCACGTTTGGAACAGATTGCGGGGATCTCGGCATCCACTGACATCACATCTATCTGCATCACAACAGAGTGTGCTTTTCTGCTGCGAGTCCTCTCGTGAGATGTGATGATATGATGAGTCTTGGTCATGTTTTGGTCTCTGTAGACCGACTTCTCACATCAACCATCGGCATCTCACAATCGCATCAAGGTTTCGATCAACATCATCATCTCAAAACAACATCTCCGATTTCGGCAAAACCTCACTGATGCCGGTCGTTCTCCACCTTTGACTTACCGGATGATGTCTCCGTAGGATATATATCTTCTCTTGTATTTACTCCTTATTTCGTTATTTCAACCTTGACCTCTCGAACACCCTCACCATGCCTGTACCTCGAGGAATACCTGGCCTCTCTCGGCTCAGGACGCGAGCCTTTTCAACCTCAGTAGCAAGGACATCCTACGAAGACACCGTTCAGAACCTGAAGATCGGGAAACACACCAGAGTGCTATACCAAGGTTTCACCGGAAGAGTAGCGACCCAAAATGCCAAAGAATCTCTGGAATGGGGTACCAACATCGTTGGCGGCGTCAAGCCCGGAAGTACTGGAGAACATCTGGGCTTGCCTGTCCTGCCCACAGTTCGAGAAGCAAAAGAGCAGTTGAAACCGGACGCTACGGCTATCTATGTTGCTGCACCTCATGCGGGAAAGGCCATTGAGGAGGCGATTGAAGCCGAGATCCCGTTAATCGTTGCTGTGGCTGAACATATCCCTCTTCATGATATTCTACGGGTATGAAAACAGAGTGAATTGAAGATGAAACAAATGCTGATTCGAACAGATCATGTCAATCCTGAAGACTCAGTCAAAGAGTAGATTGGTTGGTGCAAATGCTCCAGGTATCATCTCAGCAATTGGCAAGTGCAGGATAGGCTTCCAACCACTACCGACATTCTCTCCTGGACACATCGGGATCGTAGCCAAGTCAGGCACTCTGAGTTACGAGACTGTGGCTTCGATCACTCGTTCTGGACTCGGCCAAAGTCTATGTATCGGCATGGGAGGTGATGTCGTAGCAGGCACAAACTTCGTTGATGCTCTTCGAGTATTCGAGACAGATCCGGATACGGAAGCAATTGTGCTTGTTGGTGAGGTAGGAGGAAGCGCTGAACAGGAGGCGGCAGATTGGATCAAGGACTACCACCAGCGCGAGAAGAACCCCAAGTGAGTTTCATGAAACGTGCAGACGGAATCTTGCTGACATCGTCTCGAGGCCTATCGCTGCTCTCGTAGGAGGAAGAATGGCACCTCCAGGACGAGTGATGGGCCATGCAGGCGCCTGGGCTGGCGTTGGCGAGGCTACTGCTGAAGAAAAGTACAAGATCCTGCAGAACGCAGGAGTGACCATGGTCGATCACCCAGAGAAGTTCGGTAATGTCATGAAGAGTCTGCTGAAGCAGGCCGGCAAGGACGTAAGTAAGATCCAACAATCAGCTGCTGCCAACCAGCGTAGAGGCATGCATACGATGAGGCAGGCACGACCCAGAGTTGTCTCGCGAGCTCAGAAGATCAACCTCGGCCAGCAGAGAGATCTCCATCTTCGAGAACAAAAGGCAGTAGACCACCTGAGTAAATCTCTGAAAGGCTTCACCATCTCTGAAGAAACGCCACAAGACACAGACAGCGTCTACCTTAGCATATCTGTCGACAGATCAAACCGCCAACCCTGCATCATAACTTCCCCCTCCTCCAACCCACGCAAGATCCATCACCGTCTCCGCCGTTTCCCATACTCTTACCTCGAAGGTCCCGACAAAGCAACCATAATGGAAGCAATCAAGCACCTACGACTAGACGCCGCACCCCCAGCCGCTCACGCCCAAACCGCAAAACTGATTTCCTCCCTCGCCTCCCTCCACCGCTCCCAAGAAGCTGTCAGCCTCGCCGTAAATCTCTCCATCTCCTCTTCCGGCACTTTACACCTCTCCTCTCCTCAACTCTTCTACGACGACGCAGCATTCAAATCCAACAACCGCCACCCTGAGCTCCACGCCCTCCGCGACCCTTCCCAGGAAAACGCAGTCGAAGTGGAAGCGGAGAAGTCAGGAATCGTGTTTGTGAAATTGAACACAGATGACCCACACGCCTCCATAGGCACACTCGTCAACGGCGCAGGTCTAGCCATGAACACCATCGACGCCCTCGCCCTGCCCCCTCACAACGGCGCCTGCTCCAACTTCCTCGACACCGGCGGCAAAGCGACTTCCCAAACCGTAAAAAAGTCCTTTGAACTCATCCTTTCCGATCCGAGGGTTAAAGTAATTTTTGTGAATATCTTCGGTGGACTTACGGATTGTGGCATGATTGCTGATGGTGTTATATTGGCGTTCAAGGAGGTGGATATGAGGGGTATCCCGGTGGTTGTGAGGTTGAGGGGCACTAATGAGGAAGAGGGGCAGAGGAAAATTGCCGAGTCGGGGTTGGAACTAGAGGCGTTTGATGGGTTTGAAGAGGCGGCGAGGAGGGTTGTTGAGTTGAGTGGTCAGTAGAGAGGTGTATATCTTTTAGAATAGATGCATGTGTGTTCGCATAGGTAAACACGGATGCTACAGTGCTCTGACACGAGAAGTGAGTCCGGCAAAGACCATTGACACATCACTTCTGATAATGCAATTAGGTCAAGAGGACGATTGAAGATGTCAAGAATCAGGCAATGAGCGGTCGAGTCACACAAAGAGTGTTGACTAATCAGGAAGACTGATGTGCACATAAAGGCTAGTGATCAATAACCAGATCGTCTCACAATCATCTTGTGTATTGCTATTTCTCAAGGACAAGAAAAAAATGCACAGATCTAGAGAGCGTGAAGCAGGAATAGAAATCGAAACGATTGGAAGAATTTCCTTGCGGATGTAGGATGGTGACGTGCTATCAACAAGAAACAACAAAAACTCCACGCAAAGATGAAAGGTTCGGTGGTCCAAATGTAGGGAGATGACCGGCTAGAAATGCATGAGGGATACCGCAAAAAGGAATCAGGATGTCCAGAATCGAACTTCCATTAACGATTTCTCCAAAACGCCGCGCAGAGTTAACGAGCATCCGAAAGACGAGTAGACAAGAAAAAGGGGAAAAGAGACAGCGAGTGAAAAATGCAAGTTTGAGGAGAAAAAAGAAATGGTCGTGGCTTTCAGCTCTGCTGAATCGGTCGTGATGGTTATCCAGAAGTGATGCCACTGATAACGCTGTGGTGAATGGATGAATGGCGAGCTTCGAGCTTGCGAGGTAAACATGTTGTATAAACACGAATGACGGGTTGATGTAGGAAAAGGCAGTGATGAGAAGTGAGCTTAGAAGTCAACGCTCCAACGTTGACTCACATCTCGGCGAACTCTTTCGGCGGCCCATTGAGGGAAGGTGCCAAAATCTTTGCCTTCATACCACGAGTCGAAGCCGGCCTTGCCGCTACCCAACAGCATCATTTCTTCGTATTGGTCGGCCGTGGGGAGCTCAATGCGCGCCTCGAACGAAGGGGACTTGTTGAGTCTCTGAGAATTGAGGAGCGAGTTGGCCGGCACGAGTTCTTGCAAGACATTCAGAGAACTATCCTGACGCTGTTTGTTATCCGGCCAGGGTTTACGGTCTTCGGCAGACGAATTGCGCTTACGACTCCTGCTTCGTGAACGCTCGCGGGAATTGTGTGACATGACGGGAGATAGTGGTTGAGGAGGTAGAAGGAATTTTGATGGTGAGTTGTTTTGGCGTATCTCTGTCACGGGCGGGCCGACTGGGATAAGGTGGCGGGGATTTGATGTGTCTTCTTGGACATTGATGGGCGGCGGCGGCCTGCGTCGTCGCGACGGCTTCAAGTCGTCTGTTGATGATGATGGGTTGAGGCTATCCATAGATGGGGATTGTCCGTTCCGTAGCTTTTCGTCGACGATGCGTTGGCTGACTTGTCGCGAGAGATTCTCGTTTGTTGCTCGTCTTGTGCTGGGCCTGCTAGCGCCGCTATCGCTTCGCGCAAGGTTTGTTTTTGAGCCATTCTTTGCAAGTCGAGCAGGAGGTGGAGGTTGGAGCATCCACATGGCATCTGCTGGGGTGTCTATGCGGGTGACAATGGGAGGATGGAGGTCGTTTATCGGAGGATTTGAGACGGAGTAATAACTGGTTGCATTTGATCGGTCCGTGGTCGCGGTACGGGCAGTGAGTGGTCGACTGATGGTACTGGCGCCATTGGTCGAGGGCCGGCGACTGCTCTTATAAGGATAACTGGCTCCCCAATAGTTGTCATCCTCGTCGTCATCTCGCTGCCAATTGCGCAAGTTCCATGTGCTGTCATTGCTGTCGTTTTGCGTCAGGCCGAGATTGACACTGCTGGCAACGTTGCTAGCGTTCTCGTCACTTGTTCTCGTTCGACCTTTCTTTTGACCGTTGCGACGCTTGCCAGGCGCGGGACTGGGACCAAGGTCTATCTCTGTCTGCCAGTGAACGTTTGTCGCGAAAGGGCTGGGATGGCGGTAGAGGCCTGGCTGTTCAATCTCAAGGGCACGTTTGTCCTCGCGATCACGGTCGGCCTCCTTTCTTCTCTTCTTGCGATACGAATAGCCGGTGCAAGGGGCACATGATAGGTAGAAGAACAGGGCGGATTGGATGCCACGGTGGAGGGCCATGCTTTGTTGAATGTGTAGGCTGAATCTATGAAGGAAGGGTTGTTTTCAAGAAATGCATCGTGTTCCTGCAGCCAGTGCCGTGGAGTGAGAGATGTTTCGGCTGAGTGTGGTGATCTCGACGTCGAAGTTGTTGGTAGGGGTGGAATGCCGGTTGCCTACGGATGACGCTCGCTGATCTCGTAAATGCAGATGCAGTGCTCCGCCGTGTCGGGTCAATCTTGTCAATGTCGAGAGATCAGCGCAATCCGGTGCCTTCCCAGTCTGTACAGTGTCGAGAGAGAGAGGAGGAAGTGACGCTCTCGTATAGAAACAAGGTGGGAGGGATAGAGGGCTCTATTCCTGGATCAATCACACGAAGGGCCAAGCTACTTAACGTTAGCCAAGGCGATATGCTCCAGACTCGTTTCGTTCCCGCGCCGTTGCGGAGTGCGAGATGCGCGAAATTCAATTCGTGGCGTTCTCCCTCCACGGTAACACCAGCTGCCGGAAGATATCAAGGAGACAATGCACTATACTTGTCTTGAGAAGGATGCTGAACACACGATAAAGGGGTCATGAACAGTGTGCAAGCACCAGCAAGGAGTCACAAAGCCCTGCCTCGAAACAAGCACCAGAGCAATCACGAAAAGACGTAATTGGTAATTGCGATGTTCATCGAACCATCCTGCCCCGCCCACATCTTCTCGGGCCGCCGTGTTCACCGACCTGACCTCGCAAACACCGTCAGAGGGTTTGCTCGTGTGTGTCTGTCTTGTCTGCAGATAGAGTGCTTCTACCGAGATTCTGTCCACTGTGATTTCCTTCCATATGACATAGCTACTATACGGAAGAATCGTACTCGCATAGCAGCCTTGCATCTCCTATTCATCCTCCATCACGCTGGCACCGTGGCAGAGACGCGTTCAGCTCCCCTTGTCAAAAGCGCGGGCACGTTTTCTGTCTTCCAGCCCCTCTTTAGCTTGGCGGCCCCACAAGCCCAGGACTTTTTGGCTCGGACTTCTGGTTGATTCATCAGCGCTTGTCCACGGTTGCTTTGGCGTTTCAGCCGACAGGACTCGAACTTGACGCGCTTGAGGAACTGATCCAGGTCAATATAAGATCGGCATTTCCATGCGGTCACCAGGAGTCTGTCAAGTTTCAGACCTTTGTTTGATCTTTTTGCGTCCTGTTGAAGGTGTGTTGTCGTGAAGTACTATTGCAGCTTTCCATTGCAGCAAACACCCTGCGGAAGCTTGCACCAAAGTTACACTTGGGCTTGTGGTCTAGAGACTGCACAAGCGACGCTATCGAAACCCACTGTATTTTCACACGGCTGCTGCATCCACAGCACCCGTCTTCAGTGCCTATCGCAATGTGGGGAGCTGGTTTGGAATTCCATGGAGCTATGATCGTCTGAATGTTGGGAACTCGGAAGAAGTGTTCGCCAGGATCATCATTGTCGCAGAGTGAGCTGTCGCAAAGGGAACGTTCAAGGCCAGTGAGTATCCTGGAGCTCCGTTGATGTTGGTTGATCCATCTGTAGTCGAATAAACTCGGCTCCTAGCGGAAATTCCGTATCTCTCGAGTCTCCTTACAAGGCTTTATTAAGCTGTTGTCGATATGCAAAATGATTTTGATGTTTTGACGCCTGTACAAAGGGAGCTCGATAAACTATCACTCTCAGCGGATACAGAGCCCACACAACATAACGTCTTACATTCTGACAGAAGTTTAGGTTGTGTGCTTATGACTGGGGAGGTAGGTATCGGTGCCGTGCTGTATCTCTTCACCTGTGTTTCAATGTTTCTTACTTCCACAAAGAAGTGCAACCATGTAACCACAATAGCGTTTGGTCAAGAAGTGAAATCAATTACAGCTTCAGGCAACAAACGCGTGTGATCAATCCTGACGCGCCGCATTGAAATTACGATCGATAGCTATATTCTTTCAACAGCTGTATTCCTCGACTTTGTTCATCAAACATCAACATCATGACGGAATCACAGTACAAGCAAGACTATGAAGATGCCAAAGCAGCCATAGATGCTGGCGACCCCACCGCATGCGACAAGCTACTCACCGACACCGAACTACCTCGCTACTACCGCATCAAAACCCTCGTACTGCTAGCTTCAGCAAGCAAACAGTGGCGCCAAAAAGAGGTCCAACAATTCCCATGTAACATCTCTATTCAAATATACTGATAGATGATACTAGGACCTACGCCTCCGTGCCGAGCACATATGGTCCGAATCTCGCACCTTGCATCCCACTGGCCAAAACACCACCACAGATTCCGTCCTCTCCGAACTACGCGACCTTCTAAACACCCTCAAAACCTCACAAGCGTCCACCGCACCATCGTCGAGTTATGAGGATGAGCTATCAACTGCCCTGGCGGAAACGGAGATTGAGGATTTAGCCGATATCGCTGATGGTGAGATGGAGGAATTGGCTGATGAGGAGTATGCCCGTGATCAATGTGCTCCCAACGTGGAGGCTGTTATTGGCACTGCTCATGCTAAGACTGCTGTTACTGCTGAGGGAGATGGAGAGGTTGCTGGGGGGAAGGTGCACAGTTCGTCGCCGAACTCGTCTTTTGCGCCGGCTTCGTCACTTGAGGCTTCGAAGGAGATCTTAGGGCATGTCAGGGATGGCCAGAGTGCCGGGGCAAGCATGGTGCACCGTACAAGAGGTGTCAGTAGACGCTCGAGCTAGAAGGAGCACCACGTCTGCCCTCTCTCTCACTGGCCACGACTTTAGGTCTGAAAATCATAGTGCATTTTGGCAGGTACCAGCATGTTGGGGCGTTGCACTCTGGAGGAAGGCAATACTTGAAGATACGCAACAGTCCAATTTCATGCCATTCTACAACTTCGAAGACCCACGAGGTCTCTCGAGCATCTTTGTCTTGTTCTGATAATTCTTGACCAATTGTCTGATGGAAAGATCAAACAGCACATCCTCACTACCACCCGGAATTCTGTTTCCAGGAACTTCCCTCCACATTTCTACTCCAAGTCAGCAAACACATTCATCGATCCTCGTCTTCATGGAAACGACTTACTCTCAGCAATTTCACCCTTTCCACTCCTCGTGAATCCGTTGCCTCCAAAAAGTAACACAGCACACTGTGCACATTCCATCAACACAACTCCAGCTTGTGCTTTTGCCGCTGCGGTCAGACCGCCTAGTTCGACATCGGCGTCCTTTTTGGGTAGCTTTATCATGGCGTAGACGAAGGATTCTGTCCATGACCATTGGGCTTCTAGCTGGGCGCCGCACTTGGCCAGGCGGTGGCGTACTACTGGTTGATCCATGAGGGATTTACCAAAGGCTTCGCGCTTGAGACAGTATTCGAATGCTGGGAAAGATCAGCAGGTGTGAACGAGATGTTTGTTGGAGGGTTGCATACCTGCGCTCAGGGCCACTCTGGCTTGTCTTGCACAGCCGATGGCGATTGTGAGGCGTTCGTGGTTGAAGTTTGTCATGATGTATTTCATACCCATGCCTTCTTCGCCGATCAGATTTTCTGCTGGCACGACTACATCGTCGAGTTCGATGTAGGTGGTTCCGGCACTGATCTGTCCACTGACTTTGAGACGTCTCATACTCACACCTTCATGTCCTTTCAGTGGCACTACCATCAGAGATAATCCACCGGGTCCAGGCCCTCCGGTTCTTACAGCCATACAACTCACTTCACTCCATATACCATTGGTAATCCACTTCTTCGTGCCGTTGATTGTATACGTCTTTCCGTCTTTACTCTTGACGGCCGTAGCTTGGATATTCGCGACATCACTTCCAGCATCCGGCTCCGTAATCGCGATACAAGCCCTCTTCTTTCCCGTCAACAGATCAGGCAAAAACCTATCCTGCAACTCTTTACTGCCAAATTTGAAGATCGGGGGCACACCAAATGCCATTCCGGTCGTCAAACTGCCCGAAGGTCCTGCCAACCCAGACTTCAACATCTCATCCGTATAAATTGCATTATGGAAGTAATCAAACTCCTCTACAGGGAGGCCGAGGATATCATGTATGCCCAAGCTCTTCAATCTTTCCACTGGGAGGGGAGCAGGGAGCGAGGGGAGAAGCATGTTTGCTTTGCTGAAGTCGTGGAATACGTGCTCGGGGACGGTCTCGGCGGTTTCCCATTCCATGGCGTGTTGGGTGAGGTGTTCGGTTATGAAGGCGCGGCATTTTTTCTGCCATTCGAGGTGGGAGGCTGAGTAGTATGGTGAAGGGAGGCCGGAGAGGTAGGGTGGTTCGGAGAAGGGGATTGGTGTATTTGGCGCCATGATTGCTGTCGTCGATAGCGTTGAAGATGGTGATGCAAGGTTTGAAGATGAAGTTGACAGGGGTTCGAGTGTGTACATCAAGGTCGTGGAGATCGCATGTGATGGTGAAGGGTAATCTGGGGTTGCTCGCGGGGTGCCGAGGTACTCGGTTGCACTTGCTGAACTTGATATCCTGTTCTCGTGTGCTTCATCGTAATTTTGTATCGTTCTCTTGCCTGATCTTGCACTCAACATCCTGAGTGTATCTCACTGCGATGATTCATTAGCAACGATGGATGCTTTCGGGCCCTCTCAGGCGGCATAACGGCCCTCTGGTGCTGGGCGTTGATCAGTTTGACCAAATCTCCCAAATTTTGTCCTTGCATTGTAGGATCACGACCGTGGCGATTTCTGGCCGTCTCGAGCTCACGAAGCTTCTCCTTGGTCTCCGCTATGCTTTCAATGAGGTGATCGACCACTGAATCGAGTTTTGATGGTACCCTCGATACTGTTACAGAAATCTCATCCTGTTGGCTGTCCAGCACCCACTTGGTCCTCCCATCCTGGACCGGAACACCTCTGCTCATGGTAGTATGCTGTGTGTTGGCAAGCCTGGCCATCTTCAACCCCCGCTCCAGTAATTCGACATGGTCATCCTTGGACTTGAGGACACGTTTGCTGGCATGTGCTTCGACTTCGAGACGCATGACTTTTTGGCTCATTCGACCGAGTTGGGCGTCAGCTACTTTGGCCTCCTCCCATACTTTGGTGCATCGGCTCTGATAGTATATCAGATCGCTCTCCTTCTTGCCGATGTATTCCTTCAGATCCCGGACCTGCTTCTCCAGTTCCAATATCATTGCATCTTTGGCTTCTCGTTCCATACGGGATTGCTGATGAAGTTGATGAATCTTCTGCCGATGTTGATTGGCCAAATCACGGTAATCTATGAAGTTGTCACATGGAGGCATGGAGTAGGTTTTCTCGGAGTCTGGCGTTGAGTATTCTCGCAGTCGCTCGAGTTCGGCTTGAAGCTTATTGTTTCCTTTCCAGAGGTTCTCGACTGCTTTTCCTCGGATCGCCAATCGCTGGTGTAGTTCTAGGATTTCTTCATCTCGTTCGACTGTGAGGCTGGGAGTTCTTGCAGGTGGCTTGCTTGGAGTTTGATTAGCTGTGGTCCACGGTTCTTCGGGGGTCTCTGTGTATGGCGGCGGTCGCTCCGTCGAGTCAGAATGTGTACGAGACAGCTTTCTGTTGTGTTGTCGACGTGGCTTGCTGCTCTGATGGCCCATTTTTCCGATGTTCGAGATTCGTTGTTGAGAAAGGAGTAAAAATTCTTGGTATGCTCGACAATTCAGGAACTGAGAGAGACGAATCGGAGGGACGAATGGCTTTCCCAAAATCTTTTGTAAAGGTTATTGACGCATTGGGGTTTGTAGGTCACTGCCACGTGCGAAAAGGCCGCATTTGAGCAATATATCGATGAGGGGTGGCTAGCCTATTGCTATCTCGAATGTCAGTGTTGGTCAAGGTTCAGACCGGACAGAACACAGCCGTCCTTCGCTCAATCTACATGCGCGTCTTCGTATCAACTCTCACGAAAACTCTAACAGGCGCCCGCCCCCCAATTTAACGACCACGATAGCTACTCCGAGGCTTGTTCGGATCCGATGCATCGAGACCAAGCAACTGATGAGCCATCTTACAAAACCGAGGAGGTTGCAAATGAGAGAATTGCTTTCTCTGCCTTCTGGTAAAGTGTCTTCGCTGCAAGACTCTAAGAGCGTCTTCCACATGGTACAAGTATGTGCTTGAGCTGGACGAGGGATCACTATCTGCTTTGCTGAAATTCTAAACTATCCCCACGTGGCAAAGCTGATATGAATTCGTAATTTGAGGAATACAGCTTCGGCGTTCTTTTCGAACATGTTTTTGCACAAGCTGGAAGGGAATTCTATAGTTGTTCACAGCGAGTTGTTCAACATGTCTGCAAGTTTTCATCCATTTCCCATTTAATGTGTTTACCTAATCATGTCGACTGGATCGGATTGTCAGAAGAACCAAGGGAACATGCCTTCCTTTGCCATGAGTCCTAGAACCCCATTAATGTTGCTGCCGGCCCAAATCATCTTTTCGGACCACTATCCCCATCGCATGGGACTAGAGCAGGTCATCGGCCATCGCATACTCGCGATCTCTTCTTCTGCTGTCCAACTCACAGTAAACCGAGCTGTAAAGAGTGTGAGGAAGCTTCGGCTTCCTGGCCAGCAACGCCTCGAGCTCCGCGTCCGATTTAGATTTGACCTTCCTCATAGCATTGTCCATCACGTCGTACCTTCTTCGGGGAGCAAGCGTGTTGGTGGATTCGATGCCCTTAGACTTCTTTTCGAGTGAGTTGAGTTGTCCGGTCTGTGTCTTGATTGTACGGTCTCTCTCTTCTACGGCTGCCTCGAGGGCGGCGACCTTGGCGCGGACGAAATCGAGATCGAGAATGTCATCGTCGGTACTCTTGATCTTGAGGGCATGCTTGTGCTCCAGAGCTTCGAGCTGCTTGTGGAACTCGTCGTTCGGCATCTCTATCTCAGTCGATGCGTCCGATGGTTTTTCTTGGGTGTAGGTGGTCTTGTATGACGGGGGACGTTCAGGCGAGTCATCCCGATCTGAAGAGTAGAGTGCTTGTGTTGATTTGCTGTTGTGATGACCCATCGTGCTTGATGTTTTGTGAATTTTTCTGTGAACGTGAGGGGAGAAGAAGATGAAAAGGCAGACGTCAACCGTACTTTATAAGGAATTGTGATTAATGACTCTTACATGGGCGCGTTATGAGGTAATTTCCACGCTCTGAGACAAGAACTGGAACAACGAATATGTGCTCAGCAGGTGTCTCAACCCCAGCCGAGGCGCCCTGTCTTCATATCGCTGCAAAAATGCATGAATGTTTCGAAAGCGCAATAGTCTCAAACGGAGGCTCAATGAAAGTAGCTCTCGGCCATCTCCAGATCCTCAAGCATCTTCTTCTGCAGCACCTCGCCGACGAGCTTCATGATCCATTTTGGAAGCTCTGGCTGCTTCTCCGATATTTCTTGTAGCTCTGTGACATCCTTGCTTTCAAGCTTGTTACGGAAAGCCTGCATCTTTTGTTCGAGCTGCGCAGCCAGATGTTGATTATCACTGATGTGAACAGGCGAGATTGCGGGGTCACGGGCGACGACTGGCGAAGACGGATCCTGCTCTTGGGGCGCAACCTGTGACAGGCCTGGCTCTAGCTCTGGCTTGATGGCAATCTTGTCATCAGAATCTGTCAGGTCGATCATGGCTGTGTCGTTTGTAGACGCTGTGGTGGCGTCGTCGGGGTCTTGTCCTTGGTTCTCGATCGAAGGTGGAAGGGACCATAGCTTCCAGAAGTTTGATACACGAGTGCAGGTATGCATACTGCAAGAGGCGGTAGATGCACTTCTCAGGGTCGATAATGTCGGCGATGACCGGATGCCACTCGTCGCAAGTGACTTCGCCAGGATAGTAACGCGAGTCCGGCGGACCACTGGGCAAGGGATACAGCGTGCCTTCCTTTGCGACTCTGAACCAGACTTGCATTCTGGAGCCGTCAGGGATGCGAGTCCATCCGATTAATAAAGCGCCTGCTTCGAAATGGACAGCCGGTCTGCGAAGGAAGAAAAGCAATGCTGGCTCGAAGCGATTGATTGTCTTTGAACCAGTGCTCACGGTACCGATTGTACGTTTAATTGATACGACGTCGTCAGAAGTAGGACTGCTTCCATGGATTGTACACAAGTGATTGTATCGTTCTTGAGCATGCGGATTGATACGCAGTTGTTGCACCGGTTGGTGAGTAAGCCATCTGCAATCTCGTCAGAGAGTAATTCGAACAACAAAAAGAAACATTTCACGTACTTTCGCGCGCGTTCAAGACGACTTAGCATAAGAAGAATTGGTTGTGGTGTCGCTGCTCTCACGACTCGCTGGCATTAGGGACAGCTGGTATTTGAGTCCGACCTAGCAAAACAGTCACTCCCATAGGCCGGCTGCAACTAAAAAGCGAATATCGCAGCGCAAGAACTCTTTCCGCTTTAGGACTTCGCCAGAGAGAGTCATCGAGACAGAACATCATCTCTGCCAAGGCTTGTGAGATCGTAGGCAAAATTAGACAAGAGCCTTATGAACGGCTATCACCTATCTGCTAAGAGACACCCTTTTGCTTGCTCTCGTTACAGATGTGTCAGCACAAAGGCCTCTGGCCTTCTGTTAGCTGTTTGGAGACACGTCGGCACTAATGACGTTAGTCACATGATGATCGTACGCATTCACAGAGAGCGGTGGTTCTACGAGGCAATGGTCGTGTTTCGATAGATATACAAGCTGGCTTCAAGACGTTTTCTGAATCAGACAGACTGTCGACGAGCCATAAGGACATTGCAAGATCGAAAGTCAAGGTAGGAGGTCAAGCACATGGTACGTGCATTCCAAGCCAAGGCTTCCACAGCACTTTCCGCGTGTCCAATCAAAACTTCATCCCCCTCTCTACCGAACGCCTAGCTGCATAACCAACCGTCCCGTACGATTATGTCGTCGTCGCTCAATTGAACGCTGCCTTGGAAGTGTTTCAGAAGCAGCGATTGATAACACCAAGATGCCACATCGAAGCGCTGCCACATATCCTTGAATGGTACAGAAACGGCTTGTCTCGAAACTCTCCGACCCGGTAGACCCTGAAGATCGATAATATGCTGTGGTATCTGCTTTCTCCAATCAGAGGGTAGGTTTCGTGACAAAATATTCTCAATATCTTGTGTTGATTCCATTGCGTACAAAGGACGAGCGATCCTCCCCGTCTACGACCTGATCACCCAATCCGAAGAGCTTTCTATCGACATGGACTCATTACCGCTCGCTACTGGCTACTTTGTATGCTTGTTTCAGTATCGGTCGGTGTTTCTTTGATCTACCCGACTGTGTTCTTATCCGATTTTCCTGCTGCTGGACTCAGTGGACTTCCTCATCATGTTTGGGCCTCGACCAGGGCATTTCCTGGCGATGCAAATAAACCTCATGATCTCGAGATGCGACAAGTATGGATTCATGGAAGCTATATGAAAGCACTTGAGAAGGACCTACTTCGGGACGTTTTTGTGCTACAAAATGCCATCCTTGGTGATGCAGCCACCGAGGCCTTTGCCTCTGACGCTCATAACTTTGCGCACCCAAACTGGGGCTATCATTCACCCCTTACATACTGGAATAATTCTCTGGCCAGATTAGAAGCAGATCCGGACATCTTGCAGACAGTCAATGAAAACACCTGCCAGCCTTCTTTCCTGAACTTTACTCTTCGTCCTTTATCAGTCTTTGCTGGCAAGGCCTTTTCTGGTTCACAACTCGAAGCAGCTGATGCTTTGATTATTTCCCTCTTCAACCGCAACAACGACCCAAAAGGAGAGATCTGGCAGCGGAACATCCAAATCGTTGCTAGTCAGTCTTCAGGTCTACCCATACAGTACCAGCGAAATGGCACACCTGAACATAGTCAATTGTTCGAGTACCGCATACAGCCACTGAGCTTCCGCCAGAACTCTCTTCTGGCAATGGCATATGGCATTATATTCATCTACGTCGGTCTGAGTTTGAGAAGGCTCAAGGCCTTCCACAGTCGTTTTGGTCTGGTGGTTACCGCCATCACTCAGATGACAACCTCTATTCTTGCAAGCTTCACCATATGTGGGTTGCTGCAGATCAATCTCGCTCAGATACCACAAGAAGCCTACCCGTTCGTGGTTCTTGTCATCGGGCTTGAGAACATATTTAGACTGATCAATGCTGTTGTGGCCTACCCTCCAGAGATGATGAATACACAACGCATAGCGAACGGCATGGCTGATATTGGGCACTCATCTCTGGCATCAGCTGCGCAAAATCTGCTTATCCTCTGGTTACTATCGCTGGTTGTATCGCCAGGCGTGGCAGCATTTTGTGCCTTTGCTGCTGTTGCGCTCCTCTTCGACTACTTTTTCCTTCTCACATTCTTCCTCGCCGTGCTCAGTGTGGATATAAGAAGATTGGAGCTGCAGGACTCGATCACCAGGAGCAGCAGCTCCCAACCAAAGCAGAAGTCAAGGCCGAAACACCACCGTGCTCATAGCCATCACCACGGCCATCATCGAGCCGAGAAACATACGTGGGTAGATGCTCTGATTCACGGAAAAGTTCCGTTTTCGACGCGCATGGCCGGCTCAGCGGTTACCATTAGCTTTGTCATGGCTTTGAACTGGCATCTTACTGCTCATGGTCCGCGTACTTCTGCATCGGGTGTTTTCCCGGGCCTCTTTGAGAAGCAGGCTTTACCCATGACGGCCTTTGATGGAACGGTACCTCCACCAACGGATCAAAGCCCTCATCCTGCGACGTGGCTTCGTACACAAGATTATGAGAATGCTGTACACTTTATGAAAGTTGTCAAACCTGGAGCTCAAGGATTTGTTGCAAAGATCTACGATCCCTTGATCATCACACTAGGAGGCGCAGACCGAAGTGGTATACTTCTTCGCAAGGAAACATGGCTAAACTCCCTTCGCGGGGTCGCCATCCAACACTTCTACCCTACAGCTATCACAGTTGTGTTCGTCGTGGCTTTTGTTACGGTCCTCATGAATTTCCTTTTGTGGGATGATCGAGCTGAAGATGCAGAGTACGAGAATGGAGGCGATAATCTCCCTCTGACAGTACACGCGATTGAGACAGGTCACATGCTTGATGTTGTCAAGATCACAGGCTGCAGACAGGGACACATGCTATCCATCAGTCTAGACCGCACCATCTCGATACTCCTCTTCAAGCCGGTCAGCAACTCTTATATGACGATACATCCATCACCAGCATCATGCGCACAGATCAAATGGCCCATCCATGCTTGTAGTATCAGTGACAAGGGCGACTGGATGGCTATCTTGGATGACAACGGCAAGGTGCTACTCGGCAATCTGTCAAGAGGCGAGTTCACTCATGACTTCAATATGGACAGCGAGGAGAAGCTTCCCCTCCTCTTCGAGTTCGTGCCTTCTCCATCAACACCGAACGGACAAGGAGTCTCATTTGCGGTCGTGTCCGCAGACGGAAAGTTAACAGAATATCACACCCACAACAAGTCAATCCAGACTTTCCGAGTGTCAGAGGGAGAGTTGTTAGCAGCCTCATTCAGTTTGGCTCAACGACACTTGCCCAAGATTGTCCTCTTACATCCGGATGGACATATCTCGGCATTACAGAAAGCATCAGGCATGTGGAGCTTCCGAGAAATGCCATTGGGATATCCTCGTCCACTGTCGGACAAGGCAGCCAGCGCAAATGCATGCCTCCAGACCATTGATGAAGTGGAAGCATCTCTAATTTGCACAACCAACACCATTACGCTACTCCATACACCTACCGTCCGCCAATCGGGCTCCTTTAACATTCCAAACGTCAAGCCCAACAGCGTGCGGGTGCTGCATACCGGCAGAAACCAATGTCTCAGCTGCGGCGGCATGACAGCAAGCAGTCTATCTCTGGTATTTACGGACAACGAAACAAGAGAATGTGTAGTCCGAACATACGCAGCTCAAGGCGAACCCTCCAAACCTCTCGGCCTCTTCACAGAAGATCTCGTCTGTAACTGCGCGGCCAAGTTCCACTGGGAGAAGAATGAACATAGGCTTCAGGACGCCGGATCCTGGGAGTCAACAACAGAGGCAGTAGTCGGGCTACGAAGAAAGCCTCAAACTCCACCAAGTTCTCCAGTCATATTGCCGAAAGACAACGGTAATATACTACGCCGACGACGAAGAGGCACAGGAGCCAGCACATCCTCGGGAGACGAAAATGAGCAATGGGAAGCATATCTCTACTCAGCATCTGGTGAACTCCACACTGTAGCCATCGACATGTCAGGAGAAAACCAACTCTACGCCACCAGAGCAGGCCCAGCATGTCAACTCGGTTATCGTTCTGTAGCCATCGTGCTAGGCAGCACAGTGTACGTTATCAAAGTGTGGGAGAATTGGAAGGACAATGGCGCTAAAGGAGTTTCGGATGGAGGATCACAGCCATTGCTTTCACGGAGGAGGTGGACTAGAAAGGCGCAGTGAAGGTGTTGTAGAAGTAGAATTGCCGTAATGCGCAAAGCAGAATTGTAAAATCGAAACCTCTCAAGCGCGAAGCTCAAAGAGAAGAGGGGTATCCAGTTATGCGCCGTGTAATCAACGCCTTGTCCCAATCATCACTTCATGTATCCCTCTCTCAAACGTTCCAGTCTCTTTCTTTGCCGTGTCACATCAATTCCACGTCCTGACCTCCACATTCGCATCCGCATCTCTGGCCAACCTCGTCTCTCTACTCGTCTCATCCAAGACTTTATTATGCGACTGTGACTTTTGAGCATCTAGTTGTTTGCCCAATTTGCCTTTTTGGCTTTTGCTTTGGGAGGATCTGAGACGTTCCTGTTTCATCACCAGGATCGCATTAGCATTTGTGTTCCTCTAGACATGCGGATATCGAGGTGGGTTTGGCAGGCATACCTCTGCAGCCATGGCGGCGGCAACGCGAGGATCATTACTACTCGGTGCAGGCGAGGAACCGCCGACTACGCGACCTTGTGCGGGTGTAGGCGCATACGAAGCGGATACTGGTTTGTTTGGCGCAGCGATGACGGGTTTGGGCGCGGGAGTCGAGTTGGCGTTCGCGAGGGTTTGGCCGCTGCCGGAGAAGTTGTCGGATTTGGGCTTGCCGAAGCAGTTGCCCATGATGGTAGATGTTAGGAAGGGGAGAGGTGCGTAGGAGGGAGAGGTTTAGGGAGGGTGGAGAGGTGAGAGGGCCATGGGTGAGTGAGTTGGCGCGGACAGGGTGGCTCGCCGAGAGATGGGCTTGGGAGGGTCTCGGCGGACGCGAAGTTTGTGGCGCAGATGGTGTGGGGGTTTGCAGAGACAGGAAGGATTTTGAACAGATTAATCTTTTGAGATTTCGGTACAAGTAGGTACAAGACGACGGAGTATATGCGCAAAGGTCATGAAGTTGAGAAAGAAGTATCTCAGTGGACTCGAAGGGTTGTTGTGTAGCCACGGAAATGTACGATGTTCTTGGATTGCTGACCACGTTCAGCGAGAGAGCAATTTCGACCACTTTTTCTCAACGGACAAGGCTATATAGAATTCAGGGATGCCGTGAGTTTGTAAGACTCGTTACTTCCATGTCCAGTCGAGAAGTCATCCCTTCGAAAATCGTGGTGAAGATGTCACAAATATGGGATTGGGAGTAGAGGAGGCAGGAAACACCTTGATATTGAGTAGTCATCAACGCCAAGTAACCATCAAGGTCGTCCTGATCAACTGGACTCGTGCAAATCGACTCCTGAGCGGCTACTGGCCAATTGACTTGGTAAATCACATCAGTCGTCATGTCGCACCTCCCCTACGCTTGGACCGATTCATTCAGCGGTATGTATCCGTCGTTGTCGACATTGTTTGGCGTGGATGCAGGCAGGAACGAGGCGCGGGACAGCCCCACGACTTTTCGCCAACCACACAGAGGAGCCGAAAACGTCAGCGCGACACCTTTTCACCACCACGCCGTCGACCACATGGCGAGACAGCACCCGCCCGGACCATCGTTGCTGTCGTCGGCGTCGGCTGAGGGATCCGCGACGTCAAAGGGTCTTGCGTATGCACCTTCGACAGTTTCCATGGCCGGGCCCGAACACGGAGGAGGATGTTTTCTGTCGGCGCCATGCGACAAGCCCGATTGCGACGAAGCCACTATTTGCTACGACTATTCTCTACCGCACTATGCCGACCTCCACTGCGCCCAGGATGCCTTCAATTGTCCTGAAGCCTTTGACTGCGGCGAGACGAACTGCAATGCCGCCGACTGGCTATGCACCGACCTAAACTGCCACGAACCCGGATGCGATCAAGAACACGCTCGAGAATGCACCCCTGCTTGTGCCGCCGCTACAGTCTCTTGCTCTGACCCGACTTGTAACGAAGACCATCTCTACTGCTGTCTCTCGGATGTCTGTCCTCGTCCTCATCCTCCTGGCACAGAGTGTCCTCAACCGCAATGCCACGATCAACACATCCCTACGACCATCTGTCACCCTGGTCCTGCTGTTGCATGCACACAACCGTATGGCTACAAGACCTCCTCTACCGCTGCTACCAGCCAAGATACAATGTCGACAAGCACCATAAGCACCCCAACGACAGACTCGATCCCCACACCAGACAATTTCCTCTCCCTGATAGAGGCTGCTTCATTGCTTCCTCCTGTGGGATACAACTTCCCTACCTCAAGGTATGCAACACTCTGTACTACACGTGAGCTCGTCTTACTAACCGATTACAGTGCCTATCCACCACGAAAGCGCATGCGACTAGACGAATCCACCTCCTATCAGGACTTCAACGCACCATACTACACACCAAATGATTACTGGCAACAAGACCTGTCACAAAGCTTCTCATCATCACAATTCCCTTCGGCAAGTCAACCCATCACCGCAAGCGCTTCGCCTGCCGTCCAGACAAAGGTCCGCCAAGAAAAGGCTTCGAGAGATTTGGATGATATTGCCATGTGCAGGTGGAATGATGAAGTCACTGGGTGAGTTTTCTGCACATGTCAGCTCTTGAGCAGCTGCTGATTGACCTTATTCTAGTCCTTGTAATCGTGTCTTTGCTACCATCGAGGATTTGCACAACCACGTCAAAGATCATACTTGCACTTTGGTGCCTTCGAAAACGCCTAACCGCACATTTGTTTGTCGCTGGGAAGGCTGTGAAAAGGATGCACCATTTGGTACCAAGAATCATCTCGACCGACACATGCAAAACCACACTCGCTGTAAGTACAAACCATCCACGAGACGTCGATCGATGAAGTACTCATTATACCCAGTCAAGCCATTTGCCTGCAACATTTGCGGCCACCGTTGCGTCACTCAGCAGCAACTGAACAACCACCTAACGACACACTCACGGGAGAAGAAGTTCAAGTGCGACTTCCCTGGCTGCGGCAAAGTCTTTGGAGTCAAGACAGCGCTATCAACACACAAGCGCACCCACACCAACGAGAAGCCTTTCTCGTGCCGTTGGTGCGGTGACAGCTACTCAGACAGCTCAAATCTGTCGAAACACCGCAAGACTGTTCACGAAGACGACAAGACCGCCATCCCTTGCCCGCATCCAGGCTGTGAATACCGCGACTCCCGTGCACAACGGCTTGAGCGTCACTGCCGTGATACCGGGCACGGTTTATCTCTGCTCGGGGACGCACACAAGTGGAGCGAGTATACCAGAAAAAAGCAGGTCAGGAGTCGCACTGCAAGTGTCGCCCCTAGCGTTGCATGAGCAGTGTTGGCGCAAAACAAGCATTTAACGAGCTATGATCAAAAAGTTTCATTTTGTTTTTTTCGATGTGTGAGTAGATAAGATTCTTTTTGTGTATAATTCGAGGACAGAAGAAGGTGGATATGAACAGCATGGACCATCCTAACAAAATATCAGCATTCGCGTTCTTCGGCTGCTTTGAACAGCTTTGAAATAATGTTTCTGCCTTCCATTGGTCCTTCGCTCTGTGAATTGGTTAGCCTATTGTAAGCTCTCATCATGGATCAATTGTTGACAAATAATGCTCACATCCTATTCACTTGAGACTCGAAGTCAATCAAGGGCAAAGACTACAATAGCATTACTATACTGTTGTCGACTATTCACTGTCCTCTATTGGTCGTCGTTCATTAGCCGATTTGCTACATCCCCTCTCCAGCACACGATCACTCCTTCCTTCTTTACATCTTTCAGTTTCGTAGACAGCAATCACCGCCGATCTTCCAAGATCTCTCACCTTCAACGACGTTGCTCAACTCAATTGATCACCTTCACATCTATCTTACCATACAGCCATCCATCGGCTTTAACCTTGTATCCAACATCAACCCGCAATCATGGCCATCAGCAACCGTAGACTTTTCAGACATTATCCCTCCAAGAAGCCGACCTCAAAACCTGCCGCATTCTTGTCAGCACTTGACAACGCAACATCAGCACCAAGGAAGAAGGCCACTGCCACTACCTCACGTCGCCCGAAGTCGCTGCCTTACAAGATCCCTCGCGCTCTGAAGAAGGCCATCAAGAAGAACCTCGTCAAGATCGTCAAGGAGCGCCGTCACAAGATCAAAGCGGAAGAGGTACTCACTCCCACGCTGGTTTGCTATCCCGAAGATCCTCAAGACTGACCATCATGCCTTCACAGCACAAGAAAACTCTCATCGACATCGAAGCCCGCACCTTCGAATCCCGCGGCTACTTCCAAGCCTTCGACCACATCTTGCAGAACTTCGACATGAGTGATGAATTGGCATATGCGCTGGATGAGTTGCTGCTCAGATGTGTGGCAAACACTCAAGCTGGAGTTGGAAGACAGGAGGCTGGGTTGATCGGCAAGAAGGCTTTTGCCAGCAAGGTTCTCGAGGGCGGTTACATCACTGAGGAGATCAAGAAGGAGATGCTTGAGTGGAAGGGCGAAGACGGAGTTGAGGGTGAGGAGTGGGTCAAGATCAAGGATCTGCTCGAGTTGGCAGGCCATGATGAGATTGACGAAGAGAATGAGAGTGGTTCCGGAACTACTCAGGATTGAGTGAAGAAGGAATTGGACAACGACACGACACCAACAACACGACGAAAAGCTTGAGCGAAGAGACTGAAGAGACTCAAGATTGAATTCTGAGGATGAAGCTTACTCGCATCGATGCTGGAGAAGCAGCTAACGGGATCCTCGAGATGCAGAAGCTTGACTATGAGAAACACGACTGGATGAAGAAGCATGAGGGGACGAAAAAGATCGTCTACCTGCTGGATCAGGCTTGCAACAAAACATATCTACGAGGCAACCTCTAGCCCCTCAAGACATCAAATATATTTATCTTTTTGCACACAACATCTTTTCCTGTGACACCGATGAGAAGGAGGCGATACGGAGACGTACGATCGAAAGCGACAAGTGACTTTGTAAATCCGCGATAGATGGAGCCTTGATGGTACGGATAGATTGACCTGTAGAGATGCAAAAACAATCTAAAGGCCTCTCGCAAATCGTATATCTCTCGAGTCTGTCCCTTTTCTGGACCTTTTCAGTTCTCATCTTCCATCATGTCGTACTCTTCCGTCTCGCTCTTTTCCATAACATCGTCCTCCATGTCATCATTATCATTCACATTGTCCAATAACAACCAATCTTCATCGACTTCCACTATTTCTTCCGTCGTAGCTCCATCCCCATCATCCATGTTGTGTTCGTGATTACATTCTTGCATCTCTTCATCCTCTTCCATAATCTCATCGCCATCATCATTGTCGTTATCGTTATCGTCATCACTCGATTGCACAGCGGCGTCGATTTCTGCCCGCAAAGCCTGCATCTGTGCTCTTACTTCCCCGATTTCTCGTTCTACGATCTTTTCTCTCAATCGCAAAACAGCTAGTTGTGTTTGTAGAGTGTTTTCACCCTGGGTATCTTGATTTGAGAGGGAAGCAGTGAGGTTGGTTTCGTAGTGGAGGCGTTGGTAGCGGATCGCTAGGGTGCGGGCGGTTAGGCGGTTTAGTGTTTGGGTGAGCTGTTGAAAGGGTGTGTTAGAGTAGGAATGGAGGAGGGTTGGGTATGCAGAGTTGCTGATGAGCGAGGAGAGGGGGGAAAGGAGGGGGCTTACGATGGTTATGCGGGTTTGGAAGGATGCTTCGAGGTTGGTGATGGTCTCGTTGTTCTCGTTGTTGTCTTCATCGCTCTCATCGTTGTTGTCTTCAATGTCTTCGTTTTCGAGGGCGGGAGTTATGTCGTTGTTGTTTTCTTGTTCTGAGGGACCAAAGATGGCGTTCTCCTCTTCTCCTTCCTCGGGTGAAGATGGAAGTGTCGGCATTGGCGAGTGGGAGTACAGGCTTAATTTCGGAGGCATGATGATCAAGTCTGCGTGTTTCCTCCCGCCGAGTGAATTTGAACTTCTTATAGCTGCTCAGATCTGGGAAGCTCTTGCGTGGGTGAACAGGAATTGGAGAGATGGCTGCGATGTGTTATAATGGAAAGCTCCCGAGAGACGGACTTGGAGTTGATCATGTCAAGGGATATATGCTTTCTGTTCAGTCGAAGAAATTTTGGTCTCATAATACATGATTGTTCAGAAATAGCTGGGACATGAGACTCGGATGAAAGGGATGTAAGACATGCATCAACGACATCGAAGACGTTTGTTCCCTCGAAACATCTTCGGTAAATCGTGCCTACAAAGTGGACGCACGAGACATATATTGGAACGATGTATCGTGTGTCTGTAAGTGATGGATGTGTCTTGAGAGGATCGTTGAGGAAAACGCTTCCAAAGGATGCAATGTTGTATCTCGAAGCTTTGTCATTGTGACAGACGTGTCTCGGAGTCGACACAAGGCGAGAGTCTCAGTACAGTAGTCAAGAATTGCTCTTCCTAATCTGGCAGGTATGTTCAGCAAATCTGGATGTCAGACTAGACACTGCAACGCGGACAAGTTGCATAGCTCAGTCAAGCACAGTTGAGTACGAAGCTTGAGGGCTGAAAGTTGTGCTCTTGTGATTCGGGTTCCGCGAGTGTGTAGAGAGGGCATTGTAGATATTATCTTTCGGCATGCACGCTGTTGTCAAGAGAGGCCGTTCGTAATGTAAAGTGCGATGAAGACTAGAAGGTCGCCTTCAGTCCGATTATCCTGGCGGAGAACGCACGTATCGCCGGAAAGTAAGGCCTTCCAGGGAAGCATAGGCCTCCATGAGCCAGTCACTCATGGCAGTAATGTACCGCGTTCAGTGGATTCTTGTGAGGCCTTGACATGTCGTCTGATATGGTAATCCTGTGAGTATGCACCCAATCTATCTTCTATGCATCGAGAGATGCCGTCTTAAATGGTAGGATGGTGGTGGTACAGACTCTATTTTGAGACGAGTAGAGTATGCTCGTCGTACAGCCAAGCGGTGGATCGGTTGTGGCGGCGACGCTCCGACGTGAAACGCGGCTCTTCGAAAGGCAACGATCTTCAGGTCCCATCGCAATGACTTTCTCACAGCAAGAAGAAGGGATGTCGCATCCGCTATCTTGCATTACCTGCGGGTGCCCAGTGGACCCGTGTACATACCCTTGTCCCGATGATGAGATTTTCAGTGCAGTAGCGAGCAGCATAACTTCGTATCCAATCTAATGACTCGTCTACTGCCTCAACGTAGAGGTAAGGCCTTTGGTGTGATGGGTATTCCTGCGACTTAACATGCTGCTGCCTCACACTTTCCTCCTTCTCAAACACCAGATTTTCCCTTCCAAGATGAAGTCCATCGTTGCTGCTCTCGCGCTCAGTGTCGTGACTGTCCACAGCGCTGTCCCGGCGCCCTACCCAGTGCTCGCACCTTACTCGTCGATCAATGCCACCGCTCTACCGCCTACCTCTGCCAACTCTACACTCTCGAGCATTCTCAGCACAATCTCTGCGTCAGTCAATGCTACTTCGGTATCAGACCCTGTCTCAGCGTGCCCGACGACCGATGTCTACTCCACGTCAACGGTGACCTCGAGTGGTATCGGCACAGTCTACTACGTCACAACCACTACCCTGGAACCCTCTACCCGTGTCGTTGAGAGCGCGAGTTATGTTGCAACCGAGTCATTATCTTTGGGTAGTCTGACGACGGCATATACTTATGTCCTCACCGATTATGAGACTCGCTACTATACCACGACCACAATCTCTACCAGCGCTTGTGTTTCGACTGCCACCAAGTACGTCCTCTATTCTCACGTTACGATACTTTGGTCTTTCTCTCTTGTTTGAGATAGCTAACAGCCCATTCTCAGAACTGGAGTTGCGACTGTCACAGAATACACAGGAACCTTTACACCTTCGCCGCTCCCAACATACTGTCCAACCACAGCTACCTATACGACCATCTACCCAGAAGGCGAAGTCACTAGCACAAATCTGAGGACCGACTACGATGTTGTCACCAGAACCTCTTATTATTTGACCACTAGCACGCACGTCTACTGGGACTCTACAACGACTGTCACCTCTAGCATACAAGGCTTGACTTATTTGTCTGGCGGACCGACCATCACAACTACATATCCCATCGACTGCACCTCGACCAGCTACACCTCCACTGCATCCGCCACTGTAACCCAAGCGGCCAAATGTGCTCCCACTAACCTCTATTCCGGCCTCGGAAGTATCGGAAACCCTGATGGGCTGGATACTAGATCTTACTGGCGAACCGAAGATCCCGTCAATAAAGATGCGTCTTCATGCTGTCAGGCCTGTGTCGATGACGCAAATTGTGTAGCCATGGACTATTATGTTGGAGAGGGCTACGGATGCGACTTGTTCCTTACGCAAGACGAACAGTGTAGCAAGGGCATTGCAGTCACATACGGGTACGCCGGTCAAGGTACATTTGTACAAGCTGGATGTGGCTATGTCGCGCTTGCGTAGAAGCATATTGTGTCTCTGTAGACTCGAAGACATATCTAGACTTTTCTCGATCGTTTGTGGTTCTAAGCAGGAGGTCTAGGATCTCGCCAGTTCGAGAAAGCATAACGCAAAGACTACGCTGTATCCCCATGTGCTAGATTTTGTCACCTTTCGCCATCCTCCCGTCATCATTTATCTCGAACTATCGCTTCTATAGCTATTCACGATGCTTCCCGTGACATCATAGCCGTAGATAGAGATGAGCTAGTCCACACGCTCTCACTGGAAACCCCTGGTTCAGAAATTACTGTTGCATTTCTAATAGCTAACACGCGGTAGAATTCCAATATATGGGTGAGGTATTCTCGGAAGATGGCGTTAAATGGCGAGCTGTGCTCACCACTGTCGTATATCTTCAAGTATCCATAAATCTCAAACCCTTTATGGCTCTCGACGTGATGAACAATGTCTGTCGGGGTCTCAATCTGAAGTCACGAGTCTCATGATATTTCGGTATATGACATTGACTACACGCTGGATGGAAACAAGGACGCGGTGTAGGTAGTCGAAGGACTTCTCGGTCCGAACTGACTCCAGATCCTCACTCATTGGAAATTTGAGCCAATCTCTGTTCACATCGACAATCATACAACTTCAAATGGTTCAGACAAAAGACGGCGACAATTGAAGAGTAAAAAGTCGTTTGTGGTGAAGATCAACCCTCTCAAAAAAGAAAAGTGGCGATGCAGATATGATATACAATTACATGATTTGACACATGCGATTTTCCGATTCCAAAAGAAACAAAAACACCTCGCTTTCTGCCGCTCACGAACAACAACACCGCCCATATGCAAGAATCTCCCCCAATAAACACCATAAATCACTTCTCCTTCTAAACTTATATATATATACAAAGACATGTACGGATGAAAAACGTTCAGAACTTCTAGTGGAAGAAGTACTGACTCTCCTTCAATCTCGTGACGTCAAAGTCGCCCTTCTCGGGGACTTCGGGGAACTTGAGTGGAAGCCAGACAAACACCTTTCTGACTTGCTCCTTCTTCGCACCCTTTACCCTTTTCGCCTTCAATGATTCCAGCGTCGGCACTGCATCGTCTTCTGCTTCTGCGTCTTCGGCAGCTTTGGCGACTTTGTCGTCAGAGGTAATGTCAACGTCGTCGTTGTCGGAAAGAACGGGTTCGGTGAGATCATTGGTTTCGAGTTCGGAGGCGGCGAAAATATCGCTGTTCTCAGGGATTTCGCCGAGACGTGAGTTGACAATCTCGATGGGGACGGTAAGGGCGTCTTCGGCATCTGCTTCTTCGGCGAAGATGGAGCCAGAAGTGATGAGTCCCTCGCCTTGAGCAACCTCTTCAGGATTCTCACTGTTGATCAAACGCAGACGCTCCACCTCTTCCAAAAGTTGAACGATCAAAGCGGGTTGTAGTTGCTTGACCTTTCCACGATTGGTAGGACGTGCCTTTTGTGCTGCGAGAATCTTCTTGCCAACGGGTGTGCGAATGTCGACGGCAGCGAGGTACATGCAATCCTTGTAGCGGGCAATGAATTCTTGACGAAGGCGGCCAACGACATCTTCAGTGTGCATAGCCACGAAGGCGTCACGGAGAACCTTGGACAAGTCTGGTACATCGCAGGCATGGGTCCAGAAGGAGTCGTGAATACTGGCAAAAGCGATATTGTTTTCGTTGCACTTAATGGCTGAAAGCATCATGTGTGTTGCGTCCAAGGAGTGGATAAAGTTGGGAGGGAAACCTTGCAACTGCTTGCGCTTACTCACAGGGTCGATCGATGTCGGCTCCTGGAGAGCAATGTTCTGGAGATTGGTCTTGACCTGACGACGCTTGGAAGAGCGGTATGGCTGTACGACCGGCAGGCGCAGAGGCGTTGTCCAGATAACGGAGCTTCGGAACAATTGTTTCGATGCCTCGGCGCGCAAGCTGCTGCCAGTGGCCTTCGTCTTTCCAGCATTTTTTGGAGTTGCGTTCTTTGCCGGCAAGATTGATTTGCCTTCTGCATCATCTTTCTGGATGCTCGCAATCTGCTCAGGCGTAACGCAGGTAGAAATGCGGTCTGCACAATCTCCCAGCCATGTTTGAATAGCCTGTGCACCCTTGAACATCTCGCCAAGAGACTTGAAAATCTTCTTAGCTACGTAAGACGCAAGAGTAAGATGATCCAGAGCGTCATGACGGTGAATTTCGGGAAAGATCTCCTCAAGCTGTTTCTTGACTTGTTCTCTGGCACCATAATAGGTGACACCATAAACGTTGGTCATGACAGGCTGCTTGACAACCTTGCGAGTGATTTTGCCATGAAGGAATTGTGCCACAGGATGACCAGCAGCTTTGTCCTTCTCGACTTCGGCCTTCACTCCCTCAGCGACGGCAGTGTAGACGTCAGAAGGTCTGTCACCAGGCTCGAGGTTGACTTGACGAGCACCAGCAGCATCACCACCAAGGGCTGCGTAATGCTGGAGACCGTTGCAAGTACCATCCTGATGTACAGGGAGGTAGGAGACGTATTTGGTAGGATCAGGAAGATCCATGGCAGCCTTGAGTTCGTAACAAGCAGCCAGAGTCTGCCATGCATCCTCAGACTCGAGCCACCACTTCTTGCCACCAAGAGGGTTAGCTACCGAGTCGCGAATATCTTCCAAGTGATCCATGGCAAATTGTTCTCTCTCAGTAAGACTGGCTTTGTCGAAACCATAAACGTTCGCCAAGTGAATCTTGAGCCATCTCAAGCCAACCTCGCCCAGTTCTTTTCCATTCGCAAAAGTCATCAGAGCGCGGGCGTTGTCGGCGCCCATGTGGTTGAGATAAGGAGGGACCGGATACGCTCTACCACGGAAATCAATGTTGTGGGGAAAATAGATCTTCTCCTTGCTGAAAGCTTTAGCAATCTCGAGCTGGAAATTTTGGAAACATCTCTGTGAGTGGTAGCCACCCTTGACATTCTCAAGATCCTTCACTAGCTGTATCCACGAACGACGGGCCTTGGAGTCGGACTTGTTAGGCTCGGGAGGCATATCGATATTCGGGTCCAAAGGAGCAAAGTTGGCAATGGGTTCACCAGTGTTCCATGCTTCGATTTGCACACGCAAAACATTCTCATTGATCTTCCACGGCACCTTTCCAAGAACATTGAGAGCCTCAAAGACCTTTTCCAGATCACCTCGTTGAATGGCAGCATATGCGTAATCGCGTGGAACTGCATCGGCTCCACTAAAACGAATGACAGGCGTGGGGTAATTGAGATAGCCACCCTTGCTAAAGTTTGTCCATGGTCTTGGTTCGATTACCATTGGAAGCCTCTTGGCAATTAGACCACCCACGGGTTCGCGGTGAAGCTTGTGGAGGAGGTCGGGACTCGGACAAAGCCACCCTTGTTTTCTTCCTGACTCATACAGGGTCTTGTGAAGGAAAGCGGCTTGAAGCTGTGTAACCATCTCTTTCGTCCTGGGGTGTTGTCTGGTGACGGGGATCTTTGCAGTTTCAATAAGTTTTGAGATAAGCATGGCGCCCAACTTGACGCGGACGTCGCTGGGCCAAACGTGCATTTCAGTGTCATAGCCAGGATGAATTTGCTTTGGCTTCGTTTTCTTGGGAGCACGACCAAGCTTTGCTCTGCGTTCAGCGATAGCCCGTTGTTTGGCGGCTTCCGCATTGGCTTCATCTTGCATAGTCCTTCCGAGCGAAGCAGTAAGGCGGCCAAGGCGTTGATTACTGTTGTACGTGCCGGAACTTCTCTCCTTGCCACTAGCAAGAGAACCCATAACGCTGAGGATGGTTGTAGCTGCAAGTTGCTCGACTGGCACAGCTTCGACGAAGGGGCCGTAGATGAGACGATCATCTGTCGCCCCTGGTTGTTGTGGCCCGTCCAGAAGTGCGCGGCAAGCTTCAATTTCTTCGCGCAAGACGGGCAACAGATCCGAATACCATTGCCACATCAAAGCGCCTAGTGGTCTTGCTTCGAGGGTTGTGTGTATACCAAGCTTTTGCAGATGTTCCTCCTCGAACTTCCAACGAGCAATTGCAGCAATACTAGCACTCTCTTCGAGAAGACGCTGGCGTTCTTCGGGTGTGAGATTCGCCTTTTCCATGGCTTCGGGTGTGTTTGCTGATTGGAGGGCAGGAGATGCGTGGCTGAGAGTTTGCTTGAGTGAGGCCAAGCCCATTCCCTTCTGGGCGACTTCGAGAATAGCAGGCATGTCGGTGAGTTGAGGCATTGCTTGGACAGAGGGGTCAAAAGGAACCTCTTTGGCTGTCTCGATGGGCTCTTCTGCTTCATGTACCGATCTTGACTTGAGTGTGGGAAGAACAGCTCCAAGCCTCAAGAACTCGTCATCAGAAAAGTCTTCGGCGTCGCAAACGTCGTCAAGAATGCCAGAGGCTTCTGCAAGTTCAGCGTATCTACGCAGAGCACGTTCTTGCTTGACGCCTTGTAGTGCAGCCATGGCAGCGCGCATCATGGTGACCAGAATCTGAGCTTCGACATTGAACTCCTTCTGGACGAGCTCAATCTCGAACCAGTCCCGCATGGCATCATACGGTGCAAGTCGATCATCCTGCTGGCTAGCCTGGATATTTTCCAAGCAGGCCGTGAGGTATGCATTATGAGCGTGCTGCAACTCGAATGAGTCGCGATGGCACTGGAGCCGTAGGCGTTCAATGACGAGGACAGCCCTTTCGAAACGCTCCACTCTCAGACATGTGTGTAGATTTTGCATCAGATCCGGTACGTTTCCAGCAAGACCGTTCTTGTATCTGCGCTGTGATTCAGACGCATCGTTTACACTGTGCTGCAGCATGAGGGTGTCTTTGGGGTTCAGAGAGTATTCAACACCACCAAAAGTCCATCGTGATGAGTCCGAGGTTGTTGAGTGTTGGTCGGTGACTGTGGCTAACCGCCTCGTTTGAGTCTTGTCGGGCTGTGACGATTGAAGACGGGTCGATGGTCGTGGTTGCGGAGCTTGCTGCGAGTGTGTCGAGTTCCATCGAAGCTGAGCGGGGCAGAGGAAAGGAAGATATAAGGAGTCGGCGAGTTGCGTAAGCTGTAAAGATGTGTTTCGCCGCGTCCTGCGACCAGCTGCTCGGACGAGCATTTCGAGTCTGACGAATTATGTGATTGCGTGGAAGTGAGAGACGGAACGACCGGTAAAGACTGGAGATATGCAGGCAGACGGAGATGAAAACAAGACGTGAATGCAGAAAGGCGACGACAGAATGGACGGCAAAGGGTATTGATAAGTGGTTACAAGAATAAAATCATCATCGAAGTTCGTGCAAGCGGCGAAGCAAGAGCAAAAGAAAACCACCCCGGACTTTCATCATCCCGCCAAGATGTCGGACTTGCCCTTTTTTCGCCTCCGATCAGGCAACCTTACACGTGCCTTGCTTCTATCTTGTTCTGTTCATTGCTCGAGTTTGTGCAATGCCATGACTTTGGTGCCCGAGCATCGCCAAAGTGCTCAGAAGTGCAGCCTACTCTCACAATCAGACTTCAATCGACATGCTGAACTTAGCATATTCAAGAGCAATCGAGATTGCAAGACCTTGATGGTGGACTTTTTCATCTACGAAAAAGCCGTTGCAATTGGACATCAATAGCAAAATCTCTTGTAGAACAAACATACATGTGTGATTTTGTGTTTCTCATTGCCGGGCTATCAACATGACCACACTCCGACGACACCGTCTTTTCTGCCTTCAACCAGATATCCATCCTTGATGCGGACACGTTCGATGGCCGAGAGCGGTCCTTGATCTTCTTCTGCTGAGGCGCCAGGTCCGCAGTCCCATTGGTTGCCATCCGTCTTGTCATATACCTTGACCACAGACTCGCCAATGGCCGACACGATATGTCTGGCATCGACTGATGAGTCGACGATCGGTGAGTCGTATGCGAATGCATCAATGATACCGCCGGTACGAAGATCCCAGATCTAGAGATTTTGTTAGCATGAAAAACTTGATAACTGAAATGACAGTTACTTACGCGAACACTGCGATCGGCACTGCCAGTCACCATATGAATGCCAGAGAAAGCTAGAGATGTGATGGGTCCTGTGTGACCAACCAAACTGCGGTGAACACTTCCACTTCTCAAATCCCAAAGTCTAACCATACCATCAGCAGTACCGCAGGCGAGCGCTGTCTCGAATACTTGGATAGCGCCAACGAAGTCCGCTTCTGCAGGAGGTAGACGTCCAGAAGCAGGTCGCCACCAGCCCTCTGCAGCAGTGGGGTCTGTAGCAGCCGGCGAAGGAGCACCGAATGTGTTGTTGGAAACACTGGCCTGCGCGGCTGCCCACATGACATCAAGTGTCTGTACGCAGCGACCATTTTCCAGATCCCATTGACGGAGCGTTTTGTCAGCCGAACCAGAAACAAGGGTGTTCTTGTGGAAGTGAAGAGCAGTGACCTCAGCAACGTGAGCAGAGAGTTCGACAACTAAGCAATCTTGCATAGAAGATGTAGGGGCGATAGGGAGAGGGTCCAATTCGGGGTCGGAGAACATGTCGGCGTCGTCGGCTTCCTCTTCTTCAGTATCCCGACCGAATCTGTTGCTCCGTGAGGGCGGCGGTGGGGTGTACTCGGCTTGATTCAGATCCCAAAAGCGGATGCTAGCATCCATAGAGCCGGTAGCGACAAAGTTTTCCGATACTTGAAGGCAGCGGACAGAAGAAAGGTGGCCTTCAAGAAGACCAATACATCTTCCAGCGTTCAGATCCCATACACGAACGGTGTCATCGAGAGCAGCAGAAACCAGGGTACCAAAGGGAGCGTCAAAGTCCAGAGCGGTAATCATGTCATTATGGGCGGGGAATTCACGAATGCGTGAGCCCTTCTCCATGTGTTCGTGGAGAACGGGCATAGACTTGCGCCTGTTGACGCGACGCTTCTTTCTCTCCTTTTCCTTTTCCTTCTCTTTATCCGTCTTGACCGGTGACGGCGCGGGCAGCTTCTCATAGACAGATTCAGACATGAAGGTTTCTGTGGACTCGGCCAGGTCGGCAGCAGGTGTCTCTGTTGTTGGCTCCAAGGGCGGTGACTTTGTGGCCAGAGCAGCGGCGTCTTCCATGGCTTCTTGCATATCTTGGAGCTTCTCGGTCATTTCCTGTATCTCATGTTCAAGGTCGACCTCCTCCTGCTCGTGCCCAGCTAGTCGTTGAAGGACAATCTTTCTCATTGTGTTCAAATTCGCAATCTTTGTGTCAATCTCTTTGATCTCGGAGATGCACATGTTCTTGCGGATACCCATCATTTCCAGACGGTGATCCATATTTGCCCGCTTAGACTTGAGCTTTTTCAAGGCGCTCGCGGGGGTGGGCTCTGCTTCATCGTCGCTGTCGTGACCAAGTAGCTTCTGGCCCTTGTCGTTACTACGAGGGGCTTTCTTCTTATCTTCGGGTTTGGAGGCTTGGAAGCCTTGGAACAGGGAGTATGTGCTGCTGCGTTCGGGGATGTGGCGGAGGAGATCATCGGGGAGGTGGACCAGAGCGCGGTGCTGTATTTCGGAGGTGGAAAAGGTAGATCGAACAAGTTCCTTGGGAGAAGCTTTGGCAAGCTCAAAGACAGAGCGCTGTATCAAAGGTCGCCGTAGTTCGCGGTGGATCTCGCCTAGGGCAGTTTGGTAGTGGTGGCCATCACCCCCGAGAGGACCGATAAAGTGGCTCGCCGTGGCATGGACGGTGCGGCCAAAGGCTTCAAGTTGTCGCGACTGTTTATTTGATTAGGGCAGGCTTCAACATGGCAGCTGGCGTCGACGTACGCCTAGTAAGCCCTCGTCGTCGTCGGATTGCGGAATGTTGGCAGAAGGTCTTCTCCGATGCGACGACGACGATGGTGGAGGAGGATTGCGGCCTCTTTGCGTCGACATGTTGTATGGTCCAGACTATGAAGTCATTATCAAGCGTATGTTTAGTCTTTGTTGCATATAACAGGCGAACAGGTCGCGTGGGCAAAAGTTTAGAGGATGGTGACACGGAGGCCGAGGCTGTTGACGATGATGATGCTGGCTGAAGCACGAAGCTCGACGAGTCTCCACGAATCCAAGAAACACCCTCTCCGGTGTCGCAACAAGTCCTCTTGGATCTTCCAGACTCATCAACAAGCCTGACCTTCTCACCAACAAGACTCGACTTCCCACCAGCGACATGGACACAGCTATCGACCTCTCTGACGCCAGCAAGGCGCTCGACCTGGCAAACATCCGCTTCCAATTGATGTAACTCATGGCCAACGACACCCCCACTGTGACTGCACTCGCTGATACAAGTCAGCCGGCTCGAGGACACCATCACCTTCCACCTGATCGAGCGTGTTCAGTTCCCTCTCAACCCCTCCATCTACAAGCCGGGCGCGGTCCGCATCCCCGACTGCGAATACAGCTTGCTTGACTGGATGATCCGTGAGCAGGAGCGCTTCCAATCGCTCGTGCGCCGCTACCAGTCACCCGACGAGTACCCCTTCTTCCCGGACGCCCTGCAAGAGCCCATCCTGCAGCCCATCCACTACCCTCAGATCTTGCATCCCAACGACGTCAACATCAACACCAAGCTGAAACACCACTACACCGAGCACATCCTACCCGCCGCGTGTATCAACTACGGTCGTGAAGAGCGTGGTGAGAATCAGGAGAACTTTGGCTCCGCCGCTACCTGCGACGTGAACTGTCTGCAAGCCCTGTCTCGTCGCATCCACTTCGGAAAGTTTGTCGCAGAAGCAAAGTTCCAGAAAGAGACTGAGCGTTTCGTCGATTTGATCAAGCGCGAGGACCGCAAGGGTATTGACGACGCTATCACAAATGCTGCCGTAGAGAAGAAGGTCCTTGAGCGTCTGCGTCTCAAGGCAAAGACGTACGGCACGGATCCCAGCATCTCGGCTGGCGAGGCCGATGAGGCCGGAAAGATCAACGTCGACGCTGTCGTTGCCATGTACAAAGACTATGTCATCCCCTTGACGAAAGAAGTCGAAGTCGATTACCTCATGCAGCGTCTTAAGAACACTCAATGGGAGTAGTCTAATGTCCATTTCTTCATCTTCACACACTTGATTATCTCCTCAATCACATACTCGATTTAGCTCATCAGCAATTCACTTCATATCCCTTAGGGACTGATCACCATCATATTGGGCCCGACCTCTGCTTTCAAAGCTTCTACTTGTTCACCGACCTCCTATTTCTCAATTCTCGCCTATCATCACTCGTGACCCGTCAACTTAGTGAGCGAGTCGAGAGCTTTATCACTCACTAGCCCAGCATATATACTCCTCTCTCTCTTCAGTCTGCTCCTCTACTCAACATCCAACTCCAACTCCAATAACTACCATGAGCAGCCTTACTACCGGTACCGAGATGCCCTTCAGAGGCATCGTAGCCAACTCTTCGGACTCCAGTCCACAGAATGTAGCCCCTCCAACCCAGGTCAGTCCACAGTGCAGCCACGCTGAACACTCCTTTAACACTACACAGCTTCACAACCAATGTCCCACCGCTCCTTCAGTGGTCCCCTCAGCAGACTTCAACAAACTCGTCTTCGACCCGCAGCACTTCAAATCGCTTGTCCACAGCATCAAGAACGAAATGGACAATGGCCGCTTCCAGGATCTCGTTCTCAGTGACACAATCTACCAGCAGATGCAGATGATGTCTGAGGCTTTGCTGTTCGAGGTTTTCGCTGATGCCAATCTCACTGCTATCAGGGATCGTCGCTTGACCGTAACTCCAAAGGACATGTGTGCTTCAGCTACTGGCGAAGGCCGCAACCTGATAAACTTCAGTATCAAGAAGATGCGTGAGGAGGAGGAGAAGTCCGATGAGGATGAAGAGATGACCGACAAGGAGGACGCTTCTGATCCCGAGAAAGAGCAGTAGTGATATCTCCACATCAAGACTTTCCAAAAGTATGTTTGTCATCTACTGTATATTCACAATCACAGAGCGCACCACTGACAATCACAATTTCAGCAACCTCACCTCAAACAATCACGAGACGACAAAAGAAAGACGCCAATACTTGCACAAACGAAGAAGCAATACCACAGCCAAGACACGATGGAATAACAACATATGCATCACCATAGCAGGAGGAAAAGTGCATCAATCCCAATCTCCATCTCACACAATTGTAACCAACAAGAATTGAAATCCCCTTCTTTCAAACATAACAAATTCATCCGCTCAGGAAATTCGAAAGCGATAATATTGCACTTATCCAAAGTTTCCTAGACCACTAGACCCTTGTTCTCGAAAATGCTGTCATGCATATGTAGATATGTGGGTTGCTGAGCAATATTCATACTTTGTATACATGTTCATGTTCACGCACATGTTCATGCAAGAAGAAAACATGGACCGGGACGAGGATCCGTGCTTGTATTTCATTGCTTTTAAGACTGTGTTTGATGGATGTTGTTGACAGAATGAAGATACTGGTGGGTGAGTTGATCTGCTGATCGTGATGCTTTTGTATCGAGCAGCGTGTTGTGAAGATCCCGGGCTTTGAGTTGGACGGCATGCGAGTATGCGATATCTGAGATTAATGGAGAGCTTAAGTGTCATTTGAAAGCTCTCAAACAAGCTTTAAAGGGTGATACCGGTGACGGTGGAAGGGTATGGTCGCTTGACATGAGTGATACTTTCTTGGGACAGGGTGACACACTTGGCAAAAGTCATTGACCAAATCAGGGTTCAAGGCCTGCGTACCTACTTCCATTCTAAAGCGCTGGTTACACCACTACACAGATGAGAATGAGCTTTAGAAGAGCTTGATAGGATGGAAGTCAAAGATGAGATAGTATAGAGAAAAAGGTATAGGAAGATATGAAGAAAGGCGAGCTGACACAACACTGGCAAGAGGCTGCGAGGTGCCGGCGTGATGGAATCATACACTGACGAATCTTGAATGGTTGATGTTAGGCGGCGCTCGAAACCCCGAATAAACAAGTCCAGATAGCATGGAACATCAGGAAGAAGATTAGTTGTGTCGGGATATCAGTAGCCCGGTTGTGCGGTGTCTTCTGATGAAAGGCAAGAGGGCTGCACAAGGGCACGAGCTGTTAGCAGACAAAGACCTGGACTTGCATGTACACATGAAAGAGCTCATGTATGGGTGACACGCGTCTGAAGAGCGAGGGCTCATGCCATGGCCGAACGGACTGAAGAGGGGCACCGGAGTTGAATGCGGAAGACTCCTACCTTTTGTCTTGCTCAGGAGAACACCATATGCCGGATCCAGCGGATAATCCTGCTCATGCTCGACATGAGAGAGTCACCTGCGTGCATCTGCGCTCGTGCTCGGTACCTGCATTCGCTGACCATGAGTACGACTGGTAATCGTACACATGCGTGAGAGCCTCTGCAGGAGAGAAGATCATACAAATTTCCCCCAGGCAACAGGATATAGGCACAACGATACAAGGTGTTGATCTGCTCCGGAGATGAAGCCTCTTCTGACATCGTAGCTTCAGCGTCACAGTTTCAAGTCGTATCCGTCAACAGCTGAAGCTCTGCACCTTCTGATCTCGAAAAACACCCCATCGGCTTGACACACACCACAGCCCCTGGATTTGAGCGAGCCATGGCAGTCAAAGCGAAGAAGATTACAAAAGTATCATCATGACACTTTTTGACGGCACGGCTGACCAGCAGGAAAATGTGATCCATCAAATCCACAAAATCCCACAAGCTGTTAGCATTATCGAAAACATGGGTGTATATGCTGCTATAAGGGGCTTCGTAACCCCACCTGTAGTTTTTAGAAAGTAGGTTCGGCATGATCGAGTCTGGGGATGTTGGCTGCCGTAATTGTAAGCGAGGGCTTGTGTGTGTGAAAGGCGACTTCGGTTGCCGTTCTCTTGTCTCAGAGTACTCGGGGGTGATCGTTCACGACGGAGGATGCTTGACAAGAACGAAGTGGCAGCCGTACAGCTCCACAAACCGTCGCCTACTCGGAGACAGTCGATATCTTCGAGGTATATATGGTATTGATGTCCGGCTCCGGACACGGGAGTGACCAGTTCCGAGCCTTTCTCTGAGGTCTGGCCTCGACTTCAAGGTAATGGCACGGCCCGGGATGTCAAGTTTGACATGTGTCGACGCAGGGGAACAGACGAGTCTGACTCAATCTGAAGGGCTCGAGCGAGGGGGCAGGTATGCAGCATTGTTGATTGGTCCGATGGCATATCCGACGGGGCAGTAACTCCACTGCTAGGATGACGAGTGAAGTCTATTTCCTCTGTCAAAGTGCCTGTCCATCGCAGGTGAACGCAAGGCCGTTAGCATGAATGGTTATGAGGGCGCTGCGATGATGGAAAGCTGAGGCCGCTTTAGCGATGTTGTATTGGGATTCGACTCCTGAATTCTGCATGCGAGCCGAAAGTTTAAAAGTCAGTAGTCAAAGCGACGACGGGCTGAAACCTCGGAGAATTGACTCGACAACGTGGACTGGGGTTGAATTTCGTTCAGGAAATCTCCCAAAATGTGCTTACATAGGCGATGCCGTCTGCTAGTATGACTCTGCAAGAAACACAATCCCGTAGCGAGCAGACAAGAAGGAATAATAGTACATCAGACGGCTTCCTTTGACCGTTGCCTCCCAGCACTTGGCGTGTGGGGTCTGCCATGAAGTCAGGCATGAACGAGCCCGACACGAGTGGGTATGACTTGTGGGGGCTGAGCAACTGCTACCATATCTGTGAGAACGTTATTATGAAAGATGGCTCAGGAAGTCGGCACTTGGTAGAGGCAAACTTCGAAAGAAGGTGTTTTGAATATGGAAGATCTTGCAGGATGCAATCAAAAAATATACAAGCAGAGGAGGACGATTTGGTGAGGTGCAGCAGCATCCATCGGGTCGGTAAATGATTTTGTGTCAACAAGGAGTTGATCAGGATGCAACTGAATTCGAGGTCAGACATGATGTCTCCACCCGGGACGGGGATCTAAACAACTTGGAGAGATGGCTGATGGACGGATGCTTGTTCTAAGAGGATTAACGTGATTTCGTGCATTAGCGTCGTGGACGGGCGCGGGCGGGAGCGTTCCGCTTGACGGCCGAGCCCCAAACATGGAGTCCTGAAGCTCCCAACAACATCGAATCTTGCAGCTGCCACATTTGTCTGCTTTTCTTCTTTGTCGACAAGCGCGCAATTCGATCGCGGTTTCCTGCCGCTGTCCTCCAGATAGCCAGGTACTCGAGCAGACGCCTCACCTACGCCATGCTCTGGAGCATGGATTCAGACTCGATCAATGACAGGATCTGCAGAATCCCACGAGCTCCAATGTCCTGCCAGACTATTCCCAAACTAGCCTGACAGCTAACGTACCATCCATGGTGTCTGGACCTTGGTCACGCAGAATTTGACGTGACATGCCCCGGGTTTGCATCGGCCACACCAGCACCGTCTTGCCTCGGACTGGATGCCTTTGCCGACTCGCTTGCCCTCGAGTACCTGCGGCTATCCGCTTTGTGGAAGGCAGTCCGAGTAAAGTTACGCCAACCTCCTTGACGCGGACTGTCCGAATATGGTGCAGCCCATCGAGTGAGCCGTCGACGATCGTCTCGGAACCGCCCTAACCTGGTGCTAATAGGACCTGCAGCGTGTACTAAGCGGTAGTAAGTACTCTACTGTTGGACTTGGTCGGGAATACGCGCATTACACGCACGTAACCACTGAGCCCTTGACACCCACCCTCTAGCCCATCATTATCGCATTCCCCAGTCAGTGAGCACCTGCATAAGCCTCCACGGAAAGGGCTTCGTTTAGCGCGATATGGTTCGCAGAAAAGGTCTCGCCACAAGGCAAGTCTCTTTTCCTTGTTCAATCTACTCTATATTGTAGCCGACTTGCCATATGCTGGTGGGTCCATCGTGCAAAGATAACTACAGACAACGTCCCTCTTATAGACCCTTCTTTTACCTTTACAACGGTCCCCTCTTCCCTCATCACGTTCCCTCATCGTCTGTCTGTGCAACACAACTGCTACGCCTTCCCCCTCTGCCTCACTCGTCTTCGACTGCCTCCATCTGGGTAGCAGACAACACTCTTCCACACCTGGATCACCATCCGTCTTCGTCATCATGGGTAGCGACGCTTTCGCAATAGAGAATCGAAAGGACCTGGTAGTGGTCGTCAATGTCATTCTCTCCTTCTCGACGTTATCAGCACTCGCACTTCGATTCGCAAAGGTCACTGGAAATGCTAAACAACGAAAGTTCGATGCACAGAACATCATGATCTGTCTGGCAGGCGTATGTGCACCGAATGAAAAGCTTCCATCAATATACTGACCATCTTATCATAGTTCTGCGGAGTGATGATGTCCTTGTTACAATGTATCGCGACGAAGTATGGCCTTGGCAGCCATGACTGGGAAGCAAGTTCGACAGATCAAGTCAAGTTTTACAAGGTGGGTGTGAGTTTTCAATTGACCCTTTCTCCCCTGATGGGAATGGGACTGATTCGGGGTCATTAGTTGTACATCTCCATCTTCTGCTTCTACCTCGCCTGCAACATGTTCGTCAAGTTTGCGCTCCTCTTCTTCTACCGTCACACAACGTACGAGCGTTGGCACCACTGGGTCATCTGGTTCATGGAGTTTGTTGCATTCGGCTTTGGTGTCAGCAGCATTCTCGTCATCATCTTCCAATGTGTACCGATCGCACATCTCTGGGACAAGAATACTCCTGGAACTTGCATCGACATCAAAGCATTCTTTTATTCCAATTCGATCATCATGATCGTCAACGACATCATTCTCTACGTTCTGCCCATCATCTTTACTTGGAAGCTGCAGCTCCGTCTCACTCAACGAATCGTTCTCAACCTCTTGTTCGCATTGGGTGCATTGTAAGTTGATTGTTCATTTTATATCCGTCAAATCTCTGACAGTTTTCCAGCGTTGTCGCAGCTAGTTTCATTCGTTTATACGTTGTCTACCGTTACGACCAAGACGGCGATCTCTCCTGGAACATCGCATCTTGCCTTATATGGTCTTCCGTGGAGAACCACCTCGCCGTCTTCATTGCATGCTCGCCTTCCATTAAGGCAGTCGTCAGTGGTGTGCTTTACCCTCTCGTCTCATCGCAAGTCTCTTCATTCAAGGACAAAATCAAGAGGTCGAGAGGCAGTGAAGGTGGCAGCTTGCCAACACACAAGTCACCTTCGCTCACTCTAGCGACCATCGGCTCACGTCCCAGCCGTTTTGTGCAAAAGGTCAGAGATCCTTTCGCCACTAGCACCCGTAGGGACAGCTTTAATACCCTGGACTCAGGTTTCGAGTACGTCAACCGCGGACACCATGAGATGGACCCCATTGAACGAGCAAACTCCGAGGCAACTCTAAGTTCGGCGACCTACCGAAAGGACTCTGAGGCATCGACTTCCTCCAAAGAGCCTCAAGTGCAAGTCTATGCCATCGACGACGCCATCAGTCCCACTTCTTCTCGTTTCCCACACCCGACGCTGGATTCGTCGAAGCCCCAAAGCCATCAATAAACGACAGGAATGAAATGGCGTAAGGGGAGCTTTAATCATGGTTCGGTTTATTTCAATGCATTCTTCATACCCCAAAGGCACAGTAAGGAGCCTGGAGCGCTGGTTTTAAAAATAATCATACCCAATGGTGATTGTCATCGACGTCTAGGGACGACATATTCGTTTTTGCTTTCTTTTCTCTTTTCTATGTACCATTTATTCAGACCCCTCAAGAAGGGAAGACCAATGTCACGACACAAACCACAAGTGCAGTCCGCGATTCGGCTGACACTAAATTCAACACTTCATCCATTGACTCCTTTTTTTCTATTCTATGGCAAGTCGGTGACGATGGTGGATACTCGCGTCGCAGTAGCGGGCTTGTGAAGTAAGCGCACATGCAACGATCATGCACACCGCATTGTAGTCCAATATAGCCGATACGCCGTCGGACAGTGAGGACTTGTCCGACCAACTCGCGTAGCAAAGTATCTGGGTAAGCAAAGCTTCTAAATCACAAAATTGTGCGAGCAAAATCATTGCTTGGTCGGGCCGGCATTGTACGACGGAAACCAACATACTGGATACCCAAAGCCACCACAACTGAGACTGGATCGGACCAAATTATTCTCAATCTTTCAATCTATTTTCTTTGGCTAGAACGGTGATCGTTGACGGGGCCTGAGTTGCGACTTCGAAGATAGGAGAGGAGCTTGCTGTGTCGCAAAACCTCGGCTCATGCGCGCGTCCCAAAAAAGAGAATTCGCCCACCTCCCAATTTCTACAAGCTCCACATGAAGAACAGAGGAATGTTTTTTGCATGATTTGCTTCATTGACTCGCTCAGAGGTAATTTCGCCGACATGCGAAACCGACCGTTGTAGAATATATACCACGAGTCTTATTGCCGACTAGAAGATTTGAGATGTCAAGCTGAAACGACGCTGGACGCAGTGTCATCTCATAGAGGCAAAGGCATCTGGACACAATCACCAACTGCCTGGTCGTGACTCCCTCAAGAACCTGCTGACCCGGTGTTAGAGATCAAGACAGATCGTGGATATCCAATCACCCACTTTTCTTCCACTCGCCAACTCAACTCGTATCTGGTTTCAATCGTACCTGCACCGAATGGACCAATTGATCTAAAATCTGGCTGCATGTTCAATATATCGTGGCAGTTGCATGACAATTGTCGCCAGCTCCCTCGATATGTGATCCAATACAACGCTTGGATTATCGTATCTCTCCAGCAGACTGGGTTGGCGCCGCATGTGCAATCTATAAACACTAGCTGGCTGCATCTAATGCGATCTTCCTGGTACCCAATCTGGGGAGGAAAAACAGCGTCGATGATACGTGCTTGCGCCTTCCCACCATCATTTCTCCGCCGTTCCGGGCCGCACCTGTCAAAATCAATACTCGATGATTGCGCCTTCGTGAAGGTCCGGGAGTTGACAGCCGCACGGTTCGTCTGATTATGAGGCACAGCAAACCACTGCGACAGAGGGACTGTGCCTTCATACATTCATCTCCATCGCAGCACTCGCTCTTCGCAACTCTTTCTGCTTCATTCACGAGGGAAGTTCGGATACGGAATACTGACAGCTCAAAAAACGATCAACCTATCAAAAATCCGAGCCTTGTCAACATGGATTGATTACTGATGATAGGCACAGCCAAAACGCAACAATGTGGCACCAGGAAGATCACATCCTCCCGTATTCATAATACCTCTCTGCTATACCACGAAACCCTAATCGTGTCCTCGACCGACGCCTGTCTATTCATCAACCAACCAATATACAATCATACCTGACCTTTGAACAGAGGCGCGGTTCATCATTCCGACCGGACCACATGTCCCCGAACACCGTACGGAGTACCCGTGTGGTGGCACAGAATCCCGCGAAATGGTCCATGGATATCGGAAGGCTTTTGTCGAGCCCTCGCTTCGGTACTGTACCATTTTTGTCCTTCACCGCCTCACCTCGGTACCGTACAATGTTGGTTTCAGCGACACATGAAGATTGTTCCAATGGTTTTACTTCGTCACAACACGCGCGCTTTCGTTCAAGCAGCTGAGCCTCCAAGTGCTGAGTAAACCGCCGATCATCTCACACACCGTGTCTACTGCGTCCTCAAACATATCACAGGATTTGAAAATACTCGAGGTGGAATGTCCAAAAAACTTGTTGGTGTTTTATATTTGCGAGGCAACGCAGCGCGACGCGTGAGCCAGCTTCCTACCACCACGACATCGTATGATCTTTCTGGTCTCAAGAGCCTTGTACTGCTTTGAGCTATTGTCCCTTGGAGTACTTTTCCGTCTGTGTACGTTGTGCTTTCGCTCAATGAAGACGAGTTTCATTGCCATGCGCCATTCACACCGCGGAGCAACAGGTTGCAAAGTCAATCTATACAGTCGTTCAGCATAGTAAATGACGAGTTGGTGGTGTTATGGAACAACAGCGCAAGTGCCTCGATCATGGTTGTGGCTGGTGAGTTTTGTGATCTCGAGATGCATGTTGAGGTCGAGTGCGATGCCATCGCTGATGCGGAAGATTTGGTTCCATTGCTTCTGGTGGAGGAGATCGCAACTCTGTAACACAGTCATGGAACATTTGGATCAAGGTCCCGGAAGCGCCTTCGGGCACAGTAACCATGTTCCCATAAACAACGATAACCGAACTAGCTCGTCAAGTCGCTCGGCCCAAGACAGCAACTCGATCTTCCTTCAGATGTTGTTCAAGTTCAACCTAGAACCAGGGGGTGCCCGGGGTGGTTGGAGAGCATGATAATCTCTTAGACTTGAGAGTGTAGGGTATATGCGAAGCTTCAGATCCCTTCTTCTCGGATGATCACGGACATGACCAATCTCGCAATCGATGTGAAAGCCCATCTTTCGATATGCTGGCGGTGCACATTCCTGTCGTATGTCTTTGGGAACTGAGAGTAGTGGATAGTACAGTCTAGTAGATACTCTGGTTCCTCAAGTCATGTCGCTAGATTCATGTTGCAAGAGATGTTGCTCCCGTCGAAACTAAACATCTTTTGTAGAGAAACAACGATATCCTCCAGGGTCTCTTTCTCTACTTATCCTGCCATCCACGGTCCGCTTGCCGTCATTCAATGTCCGCTTTGCCATTCGGTGACAACCTCGAGAAAGAAAGCAGGCTTCCAACGAGTTGTCGCCATAGAAAAGGAGAATCGCTGATTCATACATGTTCCCGTACATAGATCACAATTCATTCTTAGCTATCAAAAGGCAAGAAGTTATCTGGGATTTGGTGAATGTTCATGGAAAGCACGATACGGTTTCTCTCCTCATTGGACAAACTATTGAATCTCTGAACAATCTTGCATTTTGATACATAGAAGCTATCGACGACGGGACTGTAAAGGGAACTATTGTTCGCCACTTTTTCCTCTCCAGGCGCCTAGCGGGACCTTTTCCATCTGCCAAAGGTAAGGCGGTTTTTGGACTGGCCGAGATGTCTAATGTGGCCTCAGCTGAAGTATACTCTCTTCGGACACCTCGATGGGTCTCAAAAGCATCGGGTATTTCGATTTGTTGAAATTTCCCGTGCTGGAGTTCCTGTCTATGTGCTTCCGAAATTGGGTTTCCCATCAGGAAAGAGCCACCGTGGAACAGACGACTCCTTCTCCCCGATGCGTACAGGCTTCTGCCATCTTCACAGTCTCATCTGAACCTTGGAACTCACTCACCTACTTCTCCACTCAATCAAACTGCAGGACAGCATGAACTCACAACGTGGTTCGTCAAGGCGTGGACGTGGTACGTCTTCTTCATCTGGCCACGGACGAGGTACGTCTTCTTCGTCCGGCCGTGGTCGTAATTATCGTAGTCATGCCTCACGCTACAGTCGATCAAATGGTGCCAACTCTCGCACTTCATCAACTCGAGCTTCGCGGCAAGTATCGGTGACTCCTTCGATCGCTTCCAGACTGGCCACCCCGAATCCATCAAACAACTCTCGGCAAACCTCATCTGCACCTAGTGTGCCATGCCGCCAGCCATCTGCTTCTGTCGCACCCTCGCAATCCCGAGACGACTTTGATGATGATGTCAGTGATGAAGCATTGGACGAAATCGTGATGGCGGTGGATATGAAGCCTCGTGGAATTGTTGGCTGTGCATATTACGTCGCAGCAGAAGAAAAGCTGTACTTCATGGAGGACGTCGAGTTAGGTGGTCCTGAGGTTGTGGAAGCTCGTGAGTTACCTCTCGTCCGTCCATCGATGTCTCTCAACTAACAGCATTTAGTCAAGATATTTATCGACCCGACAGTCATCCTCGTTTCCTCCAAGCTTGAAGATACGGTGCTGGATAAGCTCGACCCAGAACGACGCAATATGGGTGATGGAGATAGTACAGCATACGGGATGCCAGCCCTATGCTCGCCTCGTCCGGTGTCCGAATTCTCGTACGAATCGGCGAGAAGCAGACTTGTCAACCTCAAAATCGGCCACGAAGATGGACCCAGGATAACCTTCATCACTCCTGGAGATGTCACCACCGACAGAAACTCAGAACACGACGCTGGCGATACCGCAACCGAAAGTCGTCAGGGACAACTACTGAGACTGGCCGGATGGATTGATGTTGATAGTCGAGTGACAGTCGGCTGTGCTGGTGCAGTACTTGCCTACATTTATCGCAAAAGGGCAGCCACATTCTTGCCCGGAGATGTTGCCGCTCAAGCGATGCACCGTATCTCAACCATAGAGATGTTCACGCTCTCTGGGTCTATGTAAGCTGCAAAGGGAAGTGTCTTACTTATTGAGGTTGCTAATCTATCCGAAGGTTCGTCAATGCTGATACTCTGCTTTCGCTACAAATTGTTCAGTCCGAGTCGCATCCTCACTCCCACAATCAAGGTCCGGCAAAAGCCAACTCTGGTTCGAAAGAAGGCTTCTCTGTTTATGGGCTCTTTCATTCTCTGGCACGCACTCCGCAGGGCAAGTTTTTGCTACGACAATACTTCTTAAGACCAAGCATAAATCCAGAAGTCATCAACGAACGTCTCGACGCCGTCAGTTTTCTCCTTCGAGCAGAGAACACAGAACCAATGGAAGCATTGATCAAAAACCTCAGCAAGATCAAGAATATGAGGACTACCATGATCAATCTCCGCAAAGGCATCAGTGGTAGTGGAGCAGGCAAACGAGGCCCTCCAAATTTCATCTGGACCGGCATTCGTCTCTTTGCCTTCCATGCCCTACAGATCAAAGATTGCTTTCAAGAAGTCATCGGTGGAGATCGACTTGCTCTTCGAAGTAAAGTCATGAATCACTTCCATAGCACACAACTCGCCGAGGTCGGAAAAGGCATTACCGAAATCATCGACTTCGAGCTTTCTGCAGATCAAGGTCGGAATGTGGTCAGGAATGGCGTAGACCATGATCTTGATGAACTCAAACGAACCTACGAAGGACTTGAAAGTCTACTAGCTCAGGTGGCCCAACATGTCGCTCAATTCGTGCCAGAAGGCCTGAATGCAGACATCAACGTCGTGTTCTTTCCCCAGATTGGCTTTCTGATCGCTGTGCCTCAAGACCAAGGTACTGGACACGGCGTCTATGAGGGTCCCGAGGAAGAGCCATGGGAGAAGATGTTCACTACCGAGGATTACGCCTACTACAAGAACGACAATGTCGTTGAGATGGACTCATATTTTGGAGACATATATGGACGCATCTGCGGTGAGTGGCTGTCGAGCTTGCTCTTGAACATTGCTGACAGCTTGTAGACCGAGAGATTGAGATCATCCACGAGCTTGCAGAGAAGATCTTGCAATACGAGGATCTTCTCACGACAGCATCTGACATCTGTGCCGAGATCGATTGGTGAGCTTCTCCGAAAACAGACATCGAAATTGGTGGCTGACATAAATGTAGCATCTTGGCTTTAGCTCAAGGAGCCAGAAACCACAATCTTGTGCGCCCGCGGCTGACAGAGTCGAACATCCTTGACATCAGGGGTGGAAGGTAAGTGGATTCCGACGCTGACTCTTAGGATTCATGAGCTCATCTTCGATAGACACATTCTGCAAGAGAAAGTGGTCTCGAACTTCATACCGAACGATACTCTCATCGCTGGTGGTGAAGGCGAAACGAAAGACGCACAGCAAGAAGATCCACCAGTGATAACTCAGTACCAGACCGAGGACGGTCATGTGGTACCAAGCATGGTCTTGGTGACTGGGCCCAACTTTTCGGGTAAGAGCGTCTATCTCAAACAAGTCGCCATCATCGTCTTCATGGCCCATGTCGGAAGCTTTGTGCCGGCAATTAGAGCGGACATCGGCATCACAGACAAGATCATGACACGAGTTGCGACCCGAGAAAGTGTGTCAAGAGTGAGTCTCTGGTGCCAAAAGCTTCAAGGGTAGCATACTGAGCTTCGCAGAACCAAAGTGCATTTATGATCGATCTTCAGCAGATATCAATGGCTCTCAACCTGGCGACCAACAGAAGCTTGCTGATCATCGACGAATTCGGAAAGGGAACTGATTCGCATGGTAAGCTTTCACGCAGGGTACCTTGAAGGTTCATACTGACCCAGTATCAGATGGTGCTGGATTGGCTGCCGGCGTCTTCAACCATCTTCTGAACCGAGGTGATCAGTGTCCAAAAGTCCTTGGTGCAACTCATTTCCATGGTAAGTAATCTCTAGATGTATCAATTGCACCAGAGTATTGACCTGGGCCACAGAGATCTTTGAGAGTGGCTTCCTTCTTCCACATGAGCGACTTGCTTTCGGCCACTTCGAAGTTCGCGTGGACCCTCAATCTCAAATTGACCAGCAGTTGACCTATCTTTACAAGTAAGCTCCGAAGTGGTGCGATTGAAGTCCACCTTTTACTAATCGTCATTCAGCTACAAGCAAGGACGTAGCAACAATAGTTACGGTACTGTCTGTGCAGCCTTGAATGGCATCCCATCAGAAGTGACCAACAGAGCTGAAGAGCTCATTCTTCTTGCTGCCAAAGGAGAAGATCTGGTCACAGCGTGTGCAATTTTGCCTGAGAGCGAGCTGAAGGATCTTCAAGATGCGGTATGTTGTTCAGTCAATTCTGTCGGGAACACCCGCTGACGATGGAGCAGGAGGATATTGCTCGGGCTTTCTTCCAGATGCAGATTCCTGATGACCCAAAGGAAAGCTTGAAACAGCTTTTAGGCATCGAGTGATGTTTCGGTGTTTTGTATGAGTGACAAGATGGAGGTCTGCTTGTTGAAGATCGCTGTCAGTTGACAAGAATTATACTGCTCGAAGAAAGGAAAAATGGAATGGGACAAGCATATTTTCGCTCGTAGCTCAAAAGATACAAAGGCCTGCATACATCATATGCGAATATATAATACAGAATCAATTACATGTCAAAAGAAAACATCTTTGCTTTCTTTTTATGAAGTCAGACCTTGGTAGTAGACCTTTCTCACGTCGACCATCTTGCGACCACGGGCGCGGGCGACGTCTTCGGGTAGACGCTGCTTCATAAGTGCCTCAAAGGTGGCCTTGACGATGTTCATGGGGTTACGACTGCGCGGGCAGCGAGCGCTGAGATCGGAGATACCTGCTGCACGGCCCATTTCGTAGATCAGATGTTGGCACCTGTTACCGAAGCCTGAAAATCGATATTAGTCAGTAACACTGGAAGGAGTACGAGAGGTTGAAAATCTTACCTGGCGGGCGGGAAGAGAGTTGAACGACCGAAGCGCCGACCTTACCCTCGACCTCACCGTAGATAGTGCGGTTCTCGTAGCGAGGAATGGGCTTCATGTTTCTGATGGCGGCGTACATGGCCTGACGAATGGCGTCTTCGTCTTCAGCTGACTTGCCCTCGCCAATACCCAGCATGCCATTCTCGTTTCCGGCAATGGTGAGGTAGTACTGCGATTGAATCTTACCCATACGGGTCTGGTTGACGACACGATGGGCAACCAAGTTCTTGACACGAATCTTCTTGATGGCATCCTTGGTCAATCCTGTCTGCTGCATCAAGCGCAGGAAGTGGGGGTCGTCGTCCTCGGATTCGAATTTCACACCCAGGTTCTTCACCTTGGGCATCTCGGGTGAGGCACTGTCTTGTTGCGAGTGTAGCGTGCCCTTGGGAGAGAAGAAGAAGTTGTTTGCGTTTCCGATGAAGGCGTTCCATTCTGCCACTGCATTGGGGCCTTCAAAGTGCTCTGCGTATTTGCGTAGGCGTTCGCGGCGCTCGTCTGGTGAGAGGTTGTCACCGGGGTACACGCCAGCCTCGATACTCTTTGTCAACAGCTCTTGCTCAATGTGTTCGCCGTCCATGCTCTCCATGCGTGTCTCATATTCTTGGCGCTTGCGGTTGAATTCCTCAGTCCAGGCGGCGAAGCGGTCGAGCACTTCGTCTTCGCTGCGCATGCGGATACCGGGGTCAATGTCTTCGGTGGGTGCGCGTACAGGCTTGTCGACTAGAGGTTGGATCTTGCTGAGGTCGTCGATGTAATTCAGGGCGAAAGTGTCGCGGCGGATTTTGCCCTGCGTAACGACATCCTTGGGGTCGATGCTGGCTTCGGCTGCCTCGATGGCGCGAACCTGTGCCGGTGTGTACTTCAAGGCGAGCAGTTGCTTTTCTCGTGCAGTGTAGGGCTTGAATGTGCGGGCAGCGGTATCGACGCGCTGTTGGACCAGACCGAGATCGACGGCTCTGACATTTGGGTACGCGGGCTTGCCTTTTGCTTGTGTCGCGGGCGTTGAGCTGAAGGCGCGTGTGGATGGTTGAGACTTTGGTGTAGCTGCCGGGGCGATGCGGCAGAAGAGGCAGCGGGTCGTCTTCATTTTGGAATGTGGCAGAGAACAACAACCCTCAGACAATCGTCAGGAAGTAGCGACTGGTATACGCCGCAATTGGGACGAATTTCAGAATGCCAAGAGCAAAGGTTGCGGAGTTGATCGGAGGTGGTATAACTCGTGCATATCTATGAGCCTGTTGCATAAGTTGTATAAATAAAGATGGTCAGCACCTCCAGGATTTGCTGACCATCTGCGAATTTGTCCGTCCTTCAATGCTGTCACGACGCTTTTTTGCTGCTACTCGGTCTCTCTCACCCTATTCCACAAAACCGGCTTCGCTGTTCCATACAGCAATCTTCCGACCAACCATGGCCGACGCAGCTCCCACTCGGTCAAACCAGCCCCAGAAGAGGAAATTCAATGAGGGAAAGAGACATTTCAAAAAGAACAAGAAGCAAAAGCAGACGACCGTCAAGGAGGGTTCCAACGAGGAAGTTTTGATTGCCGATGTCCGCGCATTGCTGGAGAAGCATTCGATCGGCTCCAAGCCTGAACAAAGCGAAGAACAAGCCCTGCCCTCGCAACTACCCGAGCCCTTAACCGAGTACGACTTGACCATCGAGGAGCTCGCATCTACCGGCGACGGTCTCGCTGTCATCCCTGGAACTTCTCAAATTGCCGTCGTACCTTTCACTGCACCCGGCGACAAGGTCACGGTCAAGATCATCAAGCACCTGACAGAGACAAACTACACCTTGACCGACTTCGTCAAGGTCCTCGAACCCTCGACACATCGCGATGACTCCCTGCCAAAGTGTGGCTACTTCTCGAAATGCTCTGGTTGCCAGTTCCAGTTCCTCCCTTACCAATATCAGCTCGATCACAAGAAGAGTATCGTCGAAAAGGCCTACAAAAACTTCTGCAACTTGCCCGCACACATGATCCCTGCTGTTGGCGACACCATTGGATCGCCTCTGGAATATGGATACCGCACAAAGCTCACTCCTCACTTCGACGGTCCTCCTGGTGGTAGAAGAGACAGACGTCAAGGTGTCAAGGCTGTTTTCGCAGAAGTCCCTCCGATTGGTTTCATGCTCAAGGGTACTCGCAAGACCATGGACATTGAGGACTGCCCCATCGGTACAGATGCTGTGCGCATGGGTATGAAGAGCGAGAGAGAGAGAGTCAAGGTCGAGCTGGATAAGTACCAACGTGGTGCCACCCTGCTGCTTCGCGAAAGCACAAAACGGATCAACAAGAAGGACCTCCCGCAAGACCAGCAAACGAATGGCGGTGCCGCCGAGGAACAGCTCGTCGAGGTTCAAGCTGCTGCACCATCAAGTGAGGCCAAAAACTACATTGACGAGGATCGGGGTGATTACATCCACCGCAAGACCTGCGTTACCGACCAGAACGCCGTGTCCACCGAATACGTGGATGACTTCCGCTTCGACAACCCTGCCGGTTCTTTCTTCCAGAACAATAACTCTATCCTCCCCTCCTTCACAAAGTACATCCGCGACAACATCCTCCCCAAGGACCAACCAGCAGATGCACCCAAGATCACAAACCTCATCGATGCCTATTCTGGCAGCGGTCTCTTCACCGTCACCCTCTCTCCCCTCTTCAAGAACTCTATCGGCATCGACGTCGCTGACAAATCCATCAACTTCGCCTCTACGAACGCCAAACTCAACAACATCCCCTCCACCTCTGCTCGCTTTCTCTGCGGTGACGCCAACAACATCTTTGCTGAGATCAAGTTCCCCGCTGCAGAAACTGCCGTCGTCATTGATCCTTCAAGAAAGGGCTGTGACGAGAACTTCCTTGGCCAATTGCTGCAATTCGGCCCTGAGAGAGTCTGTTATGTTAGTTGTAATGTGCATACTCAGGCTAGGGATGTAGCTGTCTTGGTTGGAGGTCTCGCCGGCGTTAACGACGGAAAGGGGCTGTATGAGATTGAGAGTCTAAGAGGTTTCGACTTCTTCCCTCAGACTGGTCATGTCGAGGGTGTGGCTTTCTTGAGAAAGAAGAAGGCCGAGTAGATGCTTGTTATGACTATAGAGAAATGATCCTGATTCTTCTTTCCGGTCAATGTTGTGCCACTGCCCCTCTCAGAGCGAACCCCCTGCTGCTTTACCCGCCAGCCAAGAGTCTTCACCAACTGACCCTTCATATACCCACCCGATGTTTCCTCTCACATCACCGCCACCGCTTTATCAGCAAGCGGTGGCCCAGCGGGAGCGCGTCAACTCGTGTTTGGCCCCCTCACCCCTGAAGGTCATTTGTTCGATCCACGCCATCGAAGACGGTGTAGAGTCTTGATACTCCAAATTAGAAACGAAACTGGTCCGCTAGTTGCTTTCCACCTCCGAAAGGGGGCGTTTGTTTTGCTCTTTCGCTTTTATTGCGGGATGCACTGTGACGACGATGTGAGACGCGCGAGGAAGGCGCCTTCGAAGCTCGCCCAAACTCAATCCAGCTTTCCACGTCAGTTTTGCTCGATCATCCACAAATACCTAACAACCTATCTATCCTCCATCACAGCACATGTCAATGCGCCATCTTACGCCTGTATCAACAAATGCTTCGCCGCCACTCCATCCATCCTCAGGAAGAAGAAGCTTCTTTCACGTTCCTGAGCGACTCAGGAGACCTTTCATATCTTCCGGCAGGTCATACCGCCGTCCTTCCTCACTCTTCCATCGACGACAGCCGGGTGCCGAGATCGATCGCAATATCAACAAGCTCCACTCGGTCGCTCTCAGTACCCGCCGTAGCCTCTCTCGAAGAGCCAGGCACGCCAAGAAGGCCTTCCTGCCAGCCCAGCGATGGACTCTCTAATGAGGCTCGACTAGGTTTGCCGGAGAAGTGGGTCATCTATCCCGTCTCGAGACACGGCGGCTGTTCGTCTCGTACCTTAGATCGTAAACACGATGACATTGACTTTGTCAAATTCGACTTTACTCGTCCTCTTGAATTCTGCCTTTCTGCCGACAGCTCCAGTTCCACCGATACACTACCCGCGTACCGTTCTCGAACAAACTCGTCTGGCCAGCTCGAAGACACCTTGCCTCCATATTCCGTAGACGACAAACTCTCCTCCGTCGTCCAGGCCATCTACGCACAAAACGCCGACCTCCTCAAGAAACCAAAATTGAAACGAGCCCGACCCCTTCCTCGCGATTTTACCGAACACGAACTGCGAGAGATCAGACGCAAGACCCGCCACCGTATCAGAGTGGTGACGAGAAATAGTCTGGGTCTGACAGTGAACCTTGGTCTCTCTTGCGTAGCGCCGCAGATGCTCATCGCTGCTGCCATCAACGGCTTTTGTCTCGGCATTGGTGCTCACAAACTCCATCAGCATCTCAAGTTCCTAGCATAGAATGAGCTGAAAGTCCAGAAGCGAGACATCATCATTGCCGTGGCCGAAGGCGTTGCTATCAAGCTCATCTTCCTTGCCATCACTCTCAACAACGATGATTTTCTGGTCCTCACCCACGAAATGGTATCTGCCCACTCAGAGACCATCACACCCATGCTCCACGAACTTCCTGGTTTCAGCCACGCCCACCATGCATTCATGCTGCCCATCGAAAAGATACAAGAAGTCCTGGGTCTACCGACGATGGCTCAACGCGCTGTTGACTTTGGGGCTGGAGGATGGTACGACCCTGCTGATGTGGTCTTAAAGAACATGTTCTTAGTTGGTGCTGTGCAGATGGCTATGGAGACTGCTATAGATCAGGTGCAAGATCGCTTCTCACGAGCTGTTGAGAACGTCAAGGAACATCAAGCTCACAAGAGGATATCAAGGCTGAGGGAGTGTCAGACTGAGGGGGTGGCATGGAGTAAGAATACCGACTTCTTGTTCAAGATCCGGCATGATCTGTGATGGTTGAGATTTTGCCGCGAAGCACTTCCTAGATTCATGTCACCTCTTTCACCTTTGCTTGTTGTATTTAGTCTACTCTTGCATGCTGCTTCTCCCACATCAACTTGGCCGTTGTTCTTACTCAAACTGACTCAGCCGAGGCCCTGGCCTATGACTCTTTTGCTCTCCGAGACCTCTCATCTAGGCTTGCAATTCTCTCGCACTCTCTTTTGCTCGCTTCTCTCCTGTCAATCAGAACTAGACGCTATGTCCTCAACACTACAGTCGCAAGCCACCAACGCCCTTCCTTTCAGGTTCCTCGACCTCCCTCCAGAGCTTCGCATCATGGTCTACGAGCATATCCTCCATGTCAACCCGATCCTCAATATCTGCAAGCAGATCCGCAATGAGTCTACACAGATCATCCTGCCGAAATTGCGAATTTACGCAAATCTTCAGTTCGAGGCATCGTGGACTGTACACATTTGTCCAGAAAGACTTGATCTACAAAACGACGACGACTTCTATAGTATGATGACTTGGGAAAACTTCCGTACTTCGTATGTGGCCGCGGAGTTGGAAATGTTCCACCGTGTATCGATCCGCGAACAGTACACAAGTCAGTCGACCATCATCTACGGCCATTCAGCTTTATGGCTATCGCTATATCTCGTAAAGTATCGCGGCTGCGGAGCTGTGGGAGACTTAAGCTCGTTCTTCTGGTCACGGACTGAGTTAATAACGGGCTCAGATGGAAGGTTGCAAATACGCAGAAGTGTAGACCCTGTGGTGAATGATTCGGCCAACCGCTTCTGTGAGAAGTTGAACGACGCTCAAGATGGCCCAGAGAAGTTGGATGATGGACGAGCTTATTCGTGGCTTGAAAAGGTGCACGACCTTTTTGGACGTTCTGTTCCTGCTCCGGATGTGTAGACGTCGGGGCTATGATAAGTTGACGAGTTTATCAGATGATTGATTGGGCGTTAGCTGTCAAGGTGTCAAGAGGTCATCTGTTAGGATGCATGACGATCGCTGGGACTCGGAATAGAATTGGCCCCTTGGTATCTTCGTCTACAAACCCAATGAACCCTGTTCTGTTCTTGTCTTTTGGAAGGCTTTTGAATGATCTTCAATATGGATCAATATGCAAATACCCTATACCATTTCTCTTTCTAGCGAAAAGTCATCCCAGCAATTAAAAGAATGATGACTCACTCCGACTTCTGACTCCTTGGTTTTCTCGACCACACAAAGTGACAACATGACCTGCAGCTCCTCTTCTCAAGTATTCCCGCATGTCAAAGATGGAAAATCCCGAAACTTTCAGGTTCCTCGACCTTCCACCCGAGCTCAGGCTCATGGTATACGAGCAAATCACAGATCTCCATCCATCTGTCAATATCTGCAAGCAAATCCGTCGGGAAGCGACACTCAAGATTCTTCCTAAGTTACGTCTACATCTACACTGTGGCATCAGTGGTGATAAGGACAAGCTGCCATGGTTCGTATCCATCACACCCGTTGCAGCTAACTCCAAGCGAAAAGACTGCTGCGATGTGATCAAGAACGTACCACCGGCATCCATGTATTGGGAGGTTTTTCGACAGTCGTATGTGGCCAAACTATTGGATGGATTCCATCACGTGTGCGTCTTTACGTCTGCTCTTTCCAGCATTTACGGAAGCCAACCGATTCATGTGTTCGTACATCGGAGCCGAGATGGACATACGTACGGGATGATAGGATGTTTCGATCGAGTCAGATTCAGAGCAGACCGCCGTTACAGGGCGATGAAGCTGTTGCAAGGTCGACGGAAAGACAGGGTCGATGGTGGAGGATTCTTGGAGGATGTGGTCTTGGTTCTCTGCCAGGAAAGGAAGGTTCTGGATAAGTGTCGACCCGAAGAAGACACTCTTGTGTGGATGGAAAGGGTGCATGAGCATGTGCAGGGGACGATCATCGAGTTGGACAGTTAGTGCTTCGTTCTTCTGCTACGTCTGTGATTGATCTGTCCTGTACTCTTGCCTGGAGTCTAGGCGCAAATTCGACGGTCGTGCCTGCCTACAAGAAGTGAGGCTTTACCCGACGTGTGGTTATCAACTAAGCTTGACCAATTTCTCCCCTTGGTAGAGATTACAGTTTCCGACTAAAAAGGAGGTTTCGATGAGAGTGCACACATTGAACTAGGAGAGAGAATAGAAGTCTGTAGCTTATCATGAGTGGTATCTTCATTATGAGTGGTATCTTACATATGTACAGTTCTCATCTCTCCTCCAAGGCCCAAATCTAAATGTTTTCCTACCATCCCACCATGCTGTGCGTTACACGTTAACTATCTTACATCAACAAGGCTTGACTATCACGAAGACTCGGGCGCGAGGACTTCAAGATGCTCTCCGTCCGAGCGAACTCCAATCTTGGCCACGTCTCCGGACTTGATTTTGCCACGAATGATATGATCGGCAAGCCCGTTACCAATCTCCTTGGAAATGAGGCGATTGAGAGGACGAGCACCATAACGAGGCTCGTAACCCTTCTCGCACAGCCAGGCCTTGACATCGTCTGGCACCTCGAGCTTGATGCGGCGGTCGTCAAGTCTGCCCTGCAATTCCTTGAGACGGATATCGGCAATGTCTCTGAGGGCCTCACGTGACAGACGCTTGAAGATGATGAACTCGTCAACACGATTGAGGAACTCGGGAGCATATGCCGATTGTACCACGTCCATGACATCCTGTTTGACCTCCGACGAAATCTCGCTACTAGAGCTCTCGTCCGCCAGAAGTGCCTCGGCGCCAAGGTTGGACGTCAAAACGATCATGGTGTTGCGGAAGTCGATCTTATGTCCTTGTGCATCGGTGAGGAAGCCATCATCAAGTACCTGCAGTAGGAGTGTGGATATGTCTTTGTGTGCCTTCTCGAATTCATCGAATAGAAGTACTGCGTACGGCTTCCGACGAACGGCTTCCGTAAGTTGACCTGCGTCCTCGTAGCCGACGTAACCTGCGGGACTTCCAATCAAGCGACTGACAGTGTGCTTCTCTTGGAACTCACTCATGTCGAAGCGAGTGACGGCAGATTCGGTAGAGAAGAGGAACTCGGCCATCTTCTTGCAGAGCTCAGTCTTACCAACACCAGTGGGTCCCAAGAACATGAAAGAAGCGAGAGGTCGGTTCTCACCACTCAATCCTGCACGCTGCATACGTACAGCATTGGCGACGGCGGTAAGGGCTTCATCTTGACCCCGAACAGATTGACGTAACGTATCTTCCATGTGAACAAGCTTCTCAATCTCGCCTGACATAAGCTTATTCACAGGAATGCCAGTGGTTCGAGCGACTACAGCGGCGATATCATCTGCATTGACCGAGTCATGCAAAAGAGCGTTGCCATCCATGTCGACTGCTCCTTCTGCGTTCTCGTTGGGAAGCTTCTTCTCGAGGGCCGGTATTGTGCTGTAGCGCAGTTCACTTGCGCGTGCCAGATCAGCTTCTCTCTGGGCCTGCTCGAGATCAAGTCGAGCCTTCTCCAGCCTCTCTTTGATGCCTTTTGCCTCTTCGATCTCAGCACGCTCTTTGTCCCACTTCTCAGTGAGCAAGCCAACCTCATCTTGCTTGAGTGTGAGACTCTTTTCGAGCTGCTCTCTGCGCTCCTTGCTTGCGATGTCCTTCTCCTTGCGCAACGACTCAAGCTCGATCTGAATGGTCATGATTTCGCGATCGAGCTTTTGGATAGCGTCAGGCTTGCTCTCCTGCTGTAATCGGAGGGCACTACTAGCTTCGTCAACAAGGTCGATGGCTTTGTCGGGCAAGAAACGATCGGTGATGTAGCGGTTGCTGTAGGTAGCAGCAGCGACAAGAGCAGAATCGGTGATACGGACACCATGGTGGACCTCGTAGCGATCTTTGATACCTCGAAGGATGGAAATCGTATCTTGGACACTTGGCTCGCCGACAAGAATGGGTTGAAATCGTCTAGCGAGAGCAACGTCCTTCTCGATCAACCTGTACTCGTTCAACGTGGTGGCACCGCAGCATTGTAGCTCACCACGAGAGAGGGCAGGTTTGAGCAAGTTGCTTGCATCGATACTGCCCTCAGCCTTACCGAGTCCAAGAAGAGTGTGAAGCTCGTCAACAAACAGGATGACCTTGCCTTCGGCTTCTTGTGTTTCCTTGAGTACGTTCTTCAGACGTTCTTCGAAGTCGCCACGGAACTTGGCACCAGCAATCAACGAGCCGAGATCCAAGGAGACGACCTTTTTCTCTTTGATGCTGTCCGGAACATCTCCTCTCACGATCCTTTGAGCCAGGCCTTCAAGAATGGCTGTTTTGCCAGTTCCAGCAGATCCGATGAGTACAGGGTTGTTTTTAGTACGCCGCGACAAGACTTGGATAGTTCGCTGAATCTCGGCATCTCGTCCAATCACTGGATCGAGCTTGCCATCTCGAGCGCGCTGAGTAAGGTCAATGCCATACTGTTCGAGAGCGGGTTTTTCGGGTTCTTCTCCCAGGTTCATGCGGTGAGTGCCGCCTGGAGGATGCGGTCGACCTTTAGCATATGTGCGAACTTGTGAGAAGAGTGGTTGAAGTGCTTTGGATGAGGGTGGATGTGATATTAGTCGTGTGTTTGATCTTGCGAATGCTGTTAAAGAGCTCGCGCGTAATGTGGCGGCGCGCGAAACGCATCTGCCTCTTGCTGCAAGCATTGTGATTGTGTTCAGAAGGTCTGTATATGACTGTCTAGAAAACACTAGATCACAGCGTGTGAGGCAGCTTGATATACCTATTTCCTACAAGGACTACAGCAACCGCGATGGCAATTGATGATGATTCTACACGCTTCTCGAAGATGTCGATGTCACCGAGTCCAAGCTCCAGCCTCCCTCCAAAAGCACGCCAAGACCGGGTCTGGAAACCGAATTAGAAGCTTGGGCGAGGCCGGCTAAACTGCGGATGGTGAAAAAAATGGAAGTCACCGCCCAAGCCCCTCGTCAACAAGTCTGCCTCAACTTCCCCGTATCCTTTCCTTTTTCCTCTTTTCACATATTTGACATACCACAATCACAATGGGTTTCATCGACTTCGTTTCCGACGCTGGCCTCACTCGTACGCTACTCCGTTGATGTTCGCCGCCGTCATTTAGCATTGGGCTAACCCTGCGATCAGTCCTTGAGAACTGGACCAAGACCCGTTCTTACATCGTTGGGTAAGTTTCCGCAGCTCCCCTTCCATCACCTACCCCTCCCTTTTGCTTTGCAGGATGTAAAAAAATTGGTCCGTGTTTATGAGGCGGCTTAAGACCCCGCTACACGATTATAAAACAATGCGCTTGTCGCAACACTGATATATCGCCTACCTCTCAACTTCGTCACTTCCATGTCTCTACAGGAACATCAAGCTGACAATACCAAAGCTACGGTCCTTCCCAGGCCGATGTCAAGACTTTCCAGGCCCTGAAGGCTCAGCCTGAGGTCGCCAAGTACCCCCACGCCTACCGCTGGTACAAGCACATCGCCTCTTTCGAGTCCGAGTTCTCTTCGCTGCCCGGTGACCCAACCAAAGAGTTCACTGCCTACGGCCCCGAGTCCGCTGAGCTTACCGTCAACCCCGCCAAGGCCACCGAGAACGCCGAGGAGGATGATGACGATGTCGACCTCTTCGGCTCTGACGACGAGGAGGAGGATGCTGAGCACGCCCGTGTCCGTGAGGAGCGCCTCAAGGAGTACGCCGCAAAGAAGGCTGGCAAGACGAAGCCCGCCGCCAAGTCGATTGTCACCATGGACATCAAGCCCTGGGGTGAGTCTTGTGCTTCTGAATAATCTTCACCTCGTACTGACCAACATTCTAGACGATGAGACCGACATGAAGGAGCTCGAGGCCCACGTCCGTTCCATCGAGAAGGACGGTCTCGTCTGGGGTGCCTCTACCCTCGTTCCCATCGGTTACGGTATCAAGAAGCTCCAAATCAACTTGGTTGTTGAGGACGACAAGATCTCGCTTGACGAGCTCCAGGAGGAGATCGCCGAGTTCGAGGACCACGTCCAGTCCAGTGACATTGCTGCCATGCAGAAGCTGTAAAGTGCTAAATCAGCACTGGACCAAAAGTTCACGTCGGCGGATCGCCCGCATCTACTCCCAGGTGCGCGTGTTGACTGTTCGAGACCTCTGGAGCGCTTCGTTGCAATGATCACTACGAGAGCAACATGTCTCGCAGTTAGTGATGGGTTAATGAGCTTCATGGCATGCATTTAGAAAGCGTACAAATGAAAAAAGAAAGCAAAACCCAGGGATAATGATACCCCCAATCCAGTCTTATGTCTCCATTTCGTCTCCACCAATGTGCGATCACCCCCTACCCTACCGCTCTTGATTAAATGAACCAAGGCTGAGCCGTGTCCAACAGTACTCGAACGCCTGCGCGCCCTGCCAGAAAGAGCCACGAAACAACATGGCGCGGAGCTTTGTAGCTCTCGGAAGTTGTAAGGCTCAGCTCATGCGGCTCAAGCGGGGCACGTCAGACCTCCACCATCAAACTTCAACCACATGCCTCTGATTCAGAAGTGTTCAACATCAATATGGTCCATGTAAACCGAAGTTGCCTTGTCAATTCTGGCCTTGTATGCATCCATATGGCCAGATAGAGGACGTGGACGTAAGCGGAAGCAAGCCACCAAGAAGGAAGCCTTAACACTTCAGCTCAACCAGGGTGGTAGGTATGTTTCAGCTGCTTGTAAGTGAATGAGCGAGGTAAGCTGGCACTGTCGGTTCCAAATCGCTCGACGAAGCTGGACGTGACAGACCGTAAATTCAGAAAGAGCTGGCCGGGGAGTGCTTTCCCTTCACTTTCCAGAGCACATCACTCACAATAATATTGCACTTGGGCTTCATTCACATCTTCGTCTCCCTATCTGATATTTTACTGTTCTGTTCATCCACCTATCTTTTGAGTATCCAGTATCCTCGTCTTGTACATTTTTGTTGGCCACTGAAACATCGAATTCAACATTGGCAAGCGCGAAGAGACTCGCAGCGCGCACCAAATTCGAGGCCGATGCATTTTCTCGCTCTCTCGACACGACCGAAACTCGAAAGTCACCAGTTCTGAGACATCATCGCATCTTTCCATCCAGCATCGCTTTCGCATCGCTCTCCGAAGCATCTTTCCCAGTCCTTACGCTATCGTCGTACTCACATGCACGTTCGGCGCGCCATCGCTTGATTTTCATCTTCAGCTAAGTCAGCCCAGTTTGCGCATATTAGACGCTGCGCAATCCTCTCATCCTCAGGGGTCCATTCATATCGCGACATCGATCGTAACGCTTTCCTCGTCAACCGATTTCGGGTTGTCACTGGATAAGTGCGGGCTTCGTCAAATGGATCTCGTCTACGAGAAGATTGCCGGGACAGGTAATCAATTCAACTTCACAAAAATGTCATACATGCTAATTCCAAGGCTAGGCGCATCTCGAAACTACAATCTGATGAAATGCCGAAGAGAGCTCGAAAAAAGCTGCTCTAATTACAAGAGCCGTGCTAGCCATTGCCCTCCTGCGCCACAAACTACACCCACCTCCAGCAATCCGCCCGCTCCTCAACAAGAACAACAGATTCTCCAAAAGAAAGGCGTTCTCTTCCAGACTTGCCAAGAGACAGGCCACACCTCGCGCAGGGCCACGAAGCAGTCCTTCCAGTACATCGAGAGCGACATCCAACACAGAGCCACAAGACTCAAGAACAAGTCGACGCACGTGCCTAGACCCCGAGTCCACCAAGATCCTGGCTCCAACTTCGACCCTTTCGATGGCTACACAGGGTCTGGTTTCTCGAACGATTTCTCGATGGAAAATGCAACTGCCGAAGGAGTGAGAGACTCGCACACACGGTACTGGGCACCTCAAAAGCACATGTCAGGGCCCCGATACGTACCTACTCATGCCGAATCAATTGCAATCAGACAAACTGCCGCACTGATTGCAAGGCACTGTGCAGTCCGAGACAAAGAGCCTTACATGAATTCACCTCCTCAAGAAGCTCTGCATGGGATTCGCTCGGCTGTTTGGCAGGCAAGGGCTGACGCTCAAAGCTCTAGAAGCGCTGAGCAGTCCCCAGAAGGAAACCAAGCAGACAATGGCGTTCGCATTACAGAAGACGGATGCATCATCCAGCATGGCTTCGATATCTCGCCCCTGACCTCGTCTCCCAAAAGCAATATTCATGAAAGATGCGACTCGGCGTGTGATCTTCAGTGCAAGACGCCAACCCACATGTCACCGAATCAGTCCAGGTCCATGGCGCCAATCAGATCGAGTGTCAGAAACGGCAAAGGCGCAAGGGTACCAGTCTGCTTCCGCAAGCAAGAGATATCCGTCCCACGAACAGTATCGACCTTGTCGGCTCTGGTCTCTGGTCCCGTATATGCCGCTAGCGGCGCGCTGGAGCAGGATTTTATACCAACTCCTCAACTACAAGCACAGGAGTCTCAGCAGAAGCGTCGGATGCCTGCCCCTGCACGAACCGCCCTCGTATTCGTCGAATCCTTCTCGTCCAACGCTATCGCATCCGACAGTGAATATGATAGCGACGAAAGCGAAAAAGGCCATGACAAACAAGAAGACAGCGCCCTGGTCTCGGCTCTTTGTTCGGATGGTGTCAATGAGGATGGGAGTATCGCCAACGTTGCCCTCTTGAACGAGCCTGCTGAGATTGTGAAGACAAGCAATCGTCCGCCGCAACCTTCCGTACCGCCCTCACCTCCGTCCTCCAAGATCCCACTTTCCACCTCTCCCGAGGCCGCTCAAGCCCAGCAGTATCGTACTGGTACACTCCTCCCACAGTGGTTGTCCAAGCTTCCTGAACCCGATCAACAGGGAACTCCTGTGACTACTCCCCATGACACACCCATACGTCCACCACCACCGCAGCAGCAGCACCCAAAGCCGCAATTTCCTCGTTCGCGACAAACTGCAAAACTCTTCGCGGCCCACCAGCAACAGGGCCGCCCTCAAAAGCCGGTTCCTGCTCACACCCATCCTCCGTGCTCGGCTCTGGATATCCGCCGTCCCTCCCCGCCTTATATCTTCTCCAAGAGTGACAATTGTGTCACAGCACTCTTGTTCAAGATTGAGGAGAACAAGGGCAAACGACCTGCAAACTTCAAATGGGACCACGTCGCACCCATGCATGGTTTCAGTCCGTGCAGACCATTCTACGTCCTCGATTAGGCAGATTGGACGCTATGGCTCACGATTATGAATACCACCGATGAGGACCAAAAGCCACAATCCATCGCCTGAGCTCAAGACTGTACACAGTACTATGACTTCGGCTGCTCTATCATCGCATTACACGCCTTCTGCTTTTATGATACCCCTACTGCGCTTCTTTCGTTGTTTCCTTTTTTTTCTTATCGCTCTTTCAACAACACTACACATTCGAGCACTCGGTAGACAGACAGGAGAAAAGAGCACGACCACAACGGCTTGCTATTGCATACACTCGTCCAGCACCTGGAAAATACAAAGAAGGTGGAAAGAGGATGAAAAGCAGAGACGATAGATAATGTTTAATACGAATAAACCACTATTACAGCATTCTTATACAACCCGTTGCCGCTTTCTTTCCTTTGTACCTCTGTGGATCTATCACATAGATATTATGATCTCGATGGTTTGTCTCGGAGTCCAGAACTACTTTTTGTTTTGACGAAGTCAGCTTTCTGAGGGCATCACCCTGTCTCGATCTTCAATACCACCCCACCGCGCTTGTGAGGTGTATCCAATCCTTTGGGCATATTCAAAAGCTTTATAAGGACTATCTAACCTCATATAGCGATAGTTGGATCACCCTTGCCTAATCTGGATTTACGATGACCGCCATAAACGCGACCCTACCTTCTCTATAGCTCCATATCGGAGTCGTCGCTGCATGATTGTCTTGCTTACTTATCTCATTAATTAGACGTTATACAAATTCAGCCGAACAGACACCCGGTAAACTTCGGTAAGTTCTACCGACAGGCTTTTTAGCGTGCAGTAGCGCGGAAATCTCTCTCTTTATATAACGTCTAAGATCTTAATAAACTCGTTTAGTAAGAGGTTACTACTAACACCCTAAAAATCGACCTTTTTAA